CCACCCACCCACCCACTCCCAAAAAAGCCTCTTTCTTTCAAACGCCGCCACCATGTCTTTCGGTTTAAGCCCCACAGATTTTATAGCAGTCAGCAAATGCATGGCCGGAATGGCAACAAGTCATCCACGAACGGACAATGACCTGGGTCTCTCGGACCAGAACATCATGCAAAAGAAGCCAAATAAACACCAATACCAGCGGCAGCAACACGAACAACAAACCCAGAAACGCAAAATCATCGTCTTACACTATGGCAGCGAGAAGAACGTTTTCTGCTCTGACTTGCTCTCGGAAACAGACTCGACTGCTAGCGAGACGCCTAATGGTCGATATTTTCCCAGGCGAAGGGAATCTCTCGGGTTACAGTTGAATAACTACCGGCTAAGATGGCTAGGATATCGCAATCGCAATTGGGGACGTGGATGAATTTGAAAGAAGAAACGAGAGGGAGGGGGCCCTTGCAGCTGTTGACATGGGGATGGGAAAATATGAAGTAAACCGACGTCTATGTTCGATTTATTAGAATGCGCAAGGGAATTTTTCTCAATGACCCCTTTTCTATAGATATATTACTACTATACTCTGGAGTACGTGTGTTTGCTAAATGGACAACGACAGTATCCAAAGGAAAAAAAATAAGATAAACGGGGAGAACGAGCCTTCTACGAGTTACAGACTTGGCAACCCTTGTTAGAGTTCCAGCACCGCGAGAACGAGAAAGGGGACTATATAGCTTGTTATGAATGTTTACTAAAACAGAGACTGAGGAGTTGAAAGAATAAAAATCATAGAGAATTTCAAATTTTATAAACACACCCATACATACACTTTTATCGCATTAGGTAACTGAAAAGAAAAGATCAGATGAGAGAACAGAGGGGAAATTTTTTTTTTTTTTAAAAAAAAAAAAAAAGAAAGGAGGGGTTGGCATCAAGTTGAAAGCGATATGAAAATACTAAATATGATGAAAAAGAATAACGACAGTGCTTGGTTAGACATGGACACCAACAAACACATGCACAGCCAAAGAGAGAGGAGGGGGGGAGAAGGAGACTATGAAGTCGTCCAGACCTGGACATGAAATAAAGTCAAATAGATGGATGGCAATAAATATGAAAAAAAGAGAAGGTGAATGGAGTTGACAATAGAGATGGTTTTCAGAAACGAAATTAAAATGAAAAAAGGTGGTAGAAGGGTGGACGGGTATCAAATCGAGGTAATTCTTTCAAGGCTTTGACGAGCCTGAAGGGATAGATGGTGTTGATTGATTGTCGAGAAAATATAAAATAAGATGACATTTCAGAGAAGATAAAAAGTGGGGAATAAAAAGGAAACAGAAGGTATGGCAGCGGTAGGATCGATGCGGGCTGATAAAGCGCGCACATACACATACACATAAAACCTAGCATACCAAAAGTCGAAGCGGAAGATAAAAGCAAAGAAATTGAACCCCATACATACATTCCATACACACAAAAACAAAAACAAAAAAAAAAACCCATATAAAATTCAAGAAGGAAGAAGGACCAAGTGACAAAAGCAAACGAAATCAAAACCCCGCATCCGCCTCCCTATAACAAAATAAGATAATTCGACGGCGCAATCCCCGTCTCTCCAGTCGCTTTCTTAGCCTGCCACCACCGGCCACTGACATCCGACACATCAAGAATCTCATGCTTCGCAAAACTAATCTCGTTCGCATCATCTGGGTTCGCTTCATAGGAATATATCGCCTTCGCACGATAAGGGTATTCCGTCGGCTGGCTGATTTCGTTGGCATTCGATGGGTCAGTTGCACCACCCATTCCAAGGGAGATGCCGCCAGCGCCTACTACGGGGTTATTTCCGGGGGTAAGATTTGTCTGTGAGCCGATGGGGGCTTGGCCGAAGCGGCCGGCGTTATTGGGGTTATCTGTGGCGGTGGAGGGGTAGCCGGCGATGGGAGTGGAGGTTTCGAAGCCGTTCAGTTGGGCTGAAGTGTACATTTGTGGTGGCTGGTTGCCGGAGACGGTTGTTTCGGGGCGGCCGTAGGAGTTTGAAATGGGCTTGCTGTTGCGGTAGGAGTGGTGTTCGTTGCCTGCGCCGCCAGAGTGGTCGAGGTAGCCGCGCGTTGAGGATCGGGGGGTTGAGCCGAAGTAGAAGATCCAGATGATCTGTTTGATTGTTAGATTGATGAGGAAAAAGAGGAATATTTTGAGTCTGACTTGGAAGTATGAAAAAGGAAGGGAAAGAGAGAATTGGGGGTGGGGAAGTTGCATACGATAACCATGGATTGGAGGATAAATCCTGCAGCAGCAGCCTGCTTGGTGGCACTGCCGTCATAAACCAACGAGTTGACGGCGAGAGTTGTAAAGCAGAGACCTGCGGCGAGATAACCGACAATCTAGTATCAAATTATTTGTTAGTCAAGTTCCGATAATTTACTTCGGGAAAATTTTCGTGCTATAGCTTACCGCGATGGCATAAACATGGCTTGTTTGAGAGCCCATGACAATGGCAAGGCCAATAATTGTTACGAACATATAGGTGACAGCCCACCACACATAGTTGGGAAAAATACCTTGGACATCTGAAATCACACAAGTGACCAAGGATAATAGCCATCCGATCTATGTAGTTATTTTAAAAGAGTGATTCATTAGCATTTGGAATGCGTATAGGTTATGTCGTGTTCCTTTCAAAGCAGAAGAAGAGGAAAGAAAGGGAGGGTGCTAATATACCATAGCCATTGAAAGTGTTACCAAGGCGAACGGGTCACCCATTATATTATTGACATCCAGCTGAGCCATTGTGGATGGCCGATTCTTGTTGTTGTAGTTGTTGTAACTCTTGTTCGGAGCGAAGGGGGAACTTTTCTGAAAGGAAGGAGGGTAGGACGAGGTGTAGGTTATCATGCAGGCACGGCAACACCTGTGATAGATCCCGGTAGGAACTTAAATATACTAAAAATTCCGAGATGGAGAAGTGGTAGAGGGAGGAGAACACAACGATAGACGACGGCGACCAATCCTACGAGGTGAAGAGGAGGATTGGCTAGCGAGGGCCAGATAGGTGATGACGCGATGCGGTTGTTTTCCTTCCCTTGTATCTATTTCTTTTATTTTTTCTCTATCGTTGGGTATCAAAGTGTTGAGTGTGGAATTGTGCAAAATGCGTGGTAAAGCAATGATGAGTGTGATGAGACTGTGTTTTGGAGGCCAGGGAGGGTTTCGAGGTGAAGGTTCGAGGGCGAAATAACAGCCACAGTTCGTTATTTGGTTCACTGGAAATATGGCAACGGCAGGCGTGATCAGTGATTGATGAGATATGTATCTAGAGTGGCTGGATGCCAGTCGATGAACTCGTTTAGGTGGTCGCAGGCGGGAGCGGACGAGAAAAGGGAGGCGAAATACAGGTGATGAGTGGAACAGGAGGGAGGAATGAAGATGAGGGCTTCAGCACCAGGCTCGAAGAAGAGAAGAGAAAGTTGAAAAAAAAAAAAAAAAACAGCGAAGACGCAAGACGAAGGCGAAGATAATGGAGAAGGGAATAGAAGAGATGCAGAAGAAGCAGAAGAAGGAGTGAAAGAGCGAATAAGGAGTGTAAGTGAGGCGGATGGTGATTGAGAGATGTAAAGATGAAGTTGAAGATGAGGTTGAAGATGAGTTTGAGGTTGAAGGTGAAGTTGCGGCTGAAAACGTGTGGGAAACCTTGGGTTTGGAAGGTGGGATCCCAATGGGACCAGGAGTGGGACGGTGGATGGAGGATGTTCTGGTACCTGGGGTCGGGTATGGCTGGGCGTGGGCGTGGGCGTGGGCGTGGGCGTGGGCGTGGGCGTGGGCGGGAGGTTATGCCAACTTGTACCCTAAATTATAAACATCTATAACTAAGGGGATTGTTTCAAAAGAAAGAAAGAGAAAATTCAATTAAATAACTATTTAACGGATTGTCAGTCGGTCTCCTTGCCTACCTTTGCCAAACAGCGGCCAGGGCTTTGAGGCTGGGTTCATCCCACTGGGCCTGTTTCAAAAAATTATGAATATGTCAATGAGGAAATGACAGAGTATAATCTATAACATAGCGGGATAAACGATATTAGAGACAAAATTCACTACATCAAAAATATATGAACCTGCATCTTCCCATCCCCGTTCAAGATGCACCATTTGGGCCATCCGTGGGCAGCAGCAGTGCAAGTACGCGAGATAACCTTGCAGCATCCCTGGACAACCAAAACCATTTCTGGCCCTCGTTTAACTCCGCTCCTATCAAATTCCCTAACTGGCCTGGATGAATTTTGATCTGTTCAAGTCTGTTGGGTGGAATATTCTTTTCTATATACCTCACGAGCCAAACCAACCAAATTAACCTTTGGAACGAACCAATGAAGACGTCTCCATATCACTAACCATGAGCCATGGCTCCATCTGTTATATACTCCCCACATACAAGGCAAGCAAAAGTTGGATGCTTGTTTCACATTCGATCACACTCGACGTCGATGAAACGGAGGACGATCGAAGACCCTTTCTATTCTTCTGGTTTCTCCAATTCCAGCTGTCTCTCGTAGGCTATTGTCTGGTTGTGCCTTATCTGGCTGTGCCTTGTCTGGCTGTCTGGCTGTCTGGCTGTCTAGTCATCCATGGGTTGACAGTTGGATATGCTGTGATTGTACCAGTGGTTAACCTCCTGGTAAATTATGTCCAGCGTATATAATCAAACCGCCATTAGTCCCAGCAAACGTCATTGATCTATGCATCTCAGAGATACATAAATACATCTTGATATTTATTTCTCAATTACATTCCTTCTCGTTGCTCTTCTATATTCTTCTTCATCTTCATTAATTCATTGTGCAACTGCATCTCTGAGTTAAGGACGTACGCATGTTATTAAATGCAGGTCTCTCTGCAGTTGCTGCATCTCTGTTCCTGGCTGTATTTCCTTTGCCTGTACCTGCTTGCGTTCCTGTGCCTGAACTCAATTGGTTCTTGCTGTGCCAGCTACCGACATTTTCACCAGAATGATGCCTTGCAACAGCCCTACAGAGTGCAAATACATATATTACAACCCGCTGCGGGCAAAACTATTGTCTAGCAATACTAAACCTATTATTACTCCCTAATAACAATTAGGCAAAAGACAAGAAACCAAGGAGATTGTATCTTTCTAGTTCTGTACACACTCAAAATCTGACATGTAACTATTCACCCCACCCCTTGACATCTCAACTGCTCGAAAATTTCCGATATGTCCGAGGCAGAAATAATCATACATTGCCTACCTTGGTACCTAGATAGTGGTATCCTGTTCACTTGAGCTCTTTGATGCTGACTTAGTGTCCAAGGAATATATCTGAATGTGGATACGCCATATGCTATATTCAGGCTTCATGGAAGCACGTCCGCACTATCACAGATCGCTGTAAAAAAATAAAATAAAATAAAATAAAATAAAACAACCTTGCCGGCTTCTGGAACTTCTTCCAAAGGTTCACCATCCCCACTAAGATAGGCGGCATAGCAGCCACCGTGAACGCGAACTAGTCTCCATCGGGGCTCCAGTCGTTAATCCCGGGGCCGACGTTACACTTATCCAACGTCCGTTCTCACGCACTGGCAAGCTGTTGAGTGGGAGAAGTGTGAGTCGGATTCGTCGATCTAGCTTGGGGTAGTCAATGATGATGAAGTTAGTCAGGAGTTCGCTCTCAGTCTTTCACAGCGTAGGTAAACGTCGTAGTGATATCTGCAAGGAGACATGAATATACCACTCAAATAAGGAGTAATAATTATCTTATTTTCTTCTTGGGAATAGTGGTGGTGGTGCCCTTAAAAGAATCATGCACCTGGACTGCTCAAACTCCCCTGCCAAATGAAGAACGCAAAAATGAAACAGGTGACTATTAGTTCAAGGACGAAGAAAGAAAAGATAATAGAAAAAGAAAAGAAAAATTTAATAGGACTTCTTCCTACGCATGCAACCAAGAAAATCAAGAATATCAAGAAACGATGACACCAGTTCGCTCATTCCACACAAACGCAAGGAATGATCATACCATATAAATGCCATACGGATATCCTCCGTTTAAAAAAGAGAAAATTCCCTTCCTCAAGCAAAAACAGAAAGTTAAATCCCCCTCTCCGCCTCAACCTCCAACCTCCTAACCGCTTTTTCAACCCTCTCCACTCTCCCCTCCCACTCCCCCCAAACCTCACTTCCCCCCACAACCCCAACCTCCACCCACCGCTTCGCCAACAACGCACTGCGCGCCCGCAGCTCTGCAATCTCAGCCGCTTGCTGCTCCTGCACGGCTGCTAGCCGGTCCAGGCGCGGTTGTAGCTCTATCAGGGATGCGGACAGGGCGGCGGGTGGAATAGGGAGGTCTTTGAGAGAGGTTAGGCGGGAGGCAGTTTCGGGGAAGGCGGAGGCGTAGGAGAGGATTATGGAGGTTAGGGCGGGGAGGGGGAGGGTTGTTGGGATGGATTGGGGGTTGGCGGAGGTCGAGGTCGAGGTCGAGGTGGTGTCCGGGATGGATTGGAAAAGGTCTGGAAAGCGGGAGTCTGTATAATTGGAGGGGTTGGTTAGCTCTGCTTTCTTGATTGCGTAACAGGTGGATTTGAAGACGTAGATCAGGTATCAAAGGCCGGACTGATATTGTAGACTCATTTAAAGGAAATTCGGAACTCGGGACCTACAAAGCGCTAAAACGTCCCTCACAGCTGGCACTGTTCTCGCCAACCCATTCAATTCATACTCCAACTCTGCCAGCCGTGTCGTCGCTGGTTTCTCGCCAGCACCGGATAAAGTTGGTATCTGCGGCCGCTGGCCCGTCCAGCTCGCCTCGCCCGTCAGCAGGTACTCGATCCTGCGTAATCGTGATTCCAGCAGTTCAATTGTGTCTGCGGCCGTTTCTGTCGAGGCGGGGAGCGAGGTAGAAGATGCAGATGTTGGGTTCGACATTGGTGCGTATGCGTATTTGTTATGTGCTTGTTATAATAGAATGAGGATAGAGTAGGTCGAGAGTAACTCTGTATTTCCAGGCTCTCTAGGCTTGGTGATGTTACTATTCTTTGTTTCTGTTGAGAGTGGAAAGGGTTCGTGATGAAGAACCTGGGACGGCTTGAATTATGGATGGTTCTATCAATTGCGTCCCTGAAAAGTGTCTAATATGTCCAGATATGTCAGCCTTTCTTGTATTTATTGAAAGTTGTTTGTCAACGCCGCGGTGGTGGTGTTCCGCTGAGTTGGCGGCCGGAGGAGACGGTCAGAAACAAGCTCCGGTTCGGATCCAGAGGAAGGCAAATTATCCTGTTCTCTCGAGTTGGGAGAAATTACATTAGTAAATCCCAGCCAATAACAAACGAAGAGTAATCAATGCAGTTCCGAAGTAATAATACTTATAGATAGGTAGCTGTGTTGTAAATATATCAATATGTGATGTCCGCTGCTGCATATGGGAGGAAATGAGGAAACAAAGCCGCATCGTCATAAGTCGAGCAAACAGAGCAAACATCCAACAAATCACAAATCAGCCGTCGGGTAGTAAATAAATAGGGGCATCCAACATCTTGCATGAAGCAGTGCAATTTCGGCCTAATAAAGATTAAGAATTACAACTGAGAAGGCTAATAAACAATTTGAAAATCTATTATCCCGATCCTATCCGATCCTATCTTAAAAATGAAAATTCCCCTCATTATTATGCTATTCCAGATCGGAACTATAGACGTGTAATTAACTAAACCTGGCAGCGACGCGAGGTATTGTTATATTTATCTACGTATGGCTTCGTACTCATGGAAGCACGGGGTATATAAATCCCCTTATCATCAATCAGGATGACGGTCGCTAAACAGAGTAAACGACCCTTCATCTTGCAGCAGTACGCAAATCATTAAATAAAGGTGTGGAAACAGATCCCGCGCAAGGAAATACCCATCCAACGCCCTCATCTCCCTTCTCGATCCCCAAATCCAGCCAGCTATTCATTTCTAACACGATGAAATCTGATCTGCCAAATTGAACACCTGTATATGAAATACCGTGGACTTCCCGACAACCTTCAATCCCGTACTTGCGCCGCACTCTCGTCACTTTATTTTTACTCTAATAGTATCTTATCAGGATCGCTGTCATTGTTATCACCCTCCTTCTGAATTCCGTCCATAGGCTCAGACGGTGGCATGGAAAAATTTACCCAGCTATTCCTATCACTGTCAACGCCCAATATGCCACGTCCACTGCCACTACCACCAACCCGCTCCTGCATCTCCGGTCCCCTTTCCTCCTCACTCGGTGGTGTATCCGAAAACGAAGATACTTCATAGTCGAACACGTTCGTTGTGAGTGGTGCCGCGGAGTTGGAAAGCGCCCTGGTAGGATCGCGCTCATCGTATGACCCTTGTGTTTTACAGTTGCCTTGTTTAACTCCCACCTCCTCCGTCGACGACAATGACGTAGGCACACGTTCCATTTCCGCATTTCTTCTATCCGTTTGTTGCGCTTCATCAATGACAATGTCATCTGACTGGCCGCCTAGAGGCTCGAGGCCAGACCATAAATATTCGCTTGATGATACAGTTTCATCCCCTCGCTCTACTCTCCGGGCAACTTCTTCTAACTCAGTTCCGAAGGCTTTGTTGTCCGCATCCACAAATGCCTGTAGTTCCGGTGGAAGGGGCCTCTCCTTAAAATTCACCGCATTTTCATTTGCATATACAAGAATCACAGAACGGGATTCATCCTTCGCAGCGCGTAGAACCTCTATTTCCCGGACAGGTCGCACGGTATAACCAGCCACATCAGCATTGGTTGGTAGGGGAACTCTCGGCCTCTTTTGTGGTTGGGCCGTGGCCGGATGTTGTTGGGAGGAGGGTACTATGGGTGTCTGAGTCGCTTCTGCATGTCGAGCTTTGGCGTCATCGACGGAAAAGCTGATCCGCCACCACTGCCATGCATCAGGGGTTGGGTTTGTGGAGGTGGACTCATCTGTGTCGTCGACGAGCTTTTTGCACCGCCTCAGTACATATGTGACATGTGGAAGCGTGCACACGCCTCGCAACGTGTATTTGTTATGTGGTGGTTTCGTAGGATCGTCAGACGGAGTCGTAAGCTCCTTTGAATACCGTCTTAATGCAGCTAACGCCTCATATTTTCTCTCCTCGAGGCCTGTGTAGTTACGTTAGTAAAAACACAAAATGAGGTAGATCGTGGAAAGGAATTACATACATTGTAGCTTCTCGTCGATTTTCTCTGTGAGGCCCCTCAACTCATTCGCGAGATCCATGGCAGCCTCATGCGATACGATAGTTTGATCTGGTGTATCTGCGTCTTCGTGAGACCCATTGGCCAGGTTATTCCGCGAAGCCACCTGCAACGCATTGACAGCTAAATTAAAGCTATTCTTGATGTGGGAGGTGTAGTCGCCAATTCTCAAAGTTGAGAAGCGCTGCATTAAATCATGCAGTCTTTCAATCTCTATATAGGCCTCGATTCTCTTTTTTCGAATATCACGAGAGATATCCCTACACGCCTCCATATACCGGTCGGGATACCACACCGCAGGGATTTTCACGTTAACGGATTTCTGATCTCCCGCAGCATCCAACCGTAGAGAGAACACTTCCCCAATACGGTCAATCCATATATCATCAAGCTCTGATTCCATTGAATCATTCCACATCGACGTGTCCATGACATCGTATAACGTTTCTGCATACTCCGGATAAACGGAAAGCGTCAATGTGAGGAATTCCCTATCAATCGGTTCGTCGTTGATAGAAAATGGCCTCTTCGAAGCCATGGATGAGAATATAGTAGCCAGCTGGTTATCTGGGGTTGCTGTTACGGCAGATATTTGCCATGATTCCAAAAATTGGCCAATACTGTAATCATCGGAGTTGTCACTTCGAGAATAGTCAAGGTTGGCTAGGATATCAGCGCTTCCAAATGCACGATGAGTTGAATCCAGAAATGCCATAAGCCTCTGTGTTTCAAGTAGAAGAACATTAGGTTCATCTTCATCCATGTACCCGTCATCAGCTAGGGTTACTGAGGCTGGGAGGTTAATAGGCTGTCCATTCCACCACTGCGGGTCATTGCCATAGTCTCGGATGACTTTATCCCTAAGTAATAAAGCTTCTCTCGCCAGTGGGATTGCATGGAGAATAGTTACGAAGCCAGCGAGGTATTCCATATCGGCTGAAGGGCGAAGAAAAGCAGGCTCATTGATTGCCCTCTTTCGCTCCTCCGGGTCTGGGTGGATGCACACGTCGCGAGCAGTAGTATCCAGCAACGTTAATGCCCAGGCCGTTTCCTCATAATGGCTCTTGGTGGCAGGCCCAAAGCTAGTGTGATTCGTGTGGAGTTGAACTACACCAGTTTCCTGGCCGCCTTCGTCGATAGAAATATCGCCATTACCAGCAAGTTCCGCGTTCAATGACAATGCTACTGCCCGCTGCAACTCATGCTCCTCCTGTTCCGCAAGAGACATACGCACAGTTGGACCTGGTTCTCCTACATCTACAGGCGGGTCAACATGCGACAACTCCCAACCCGGGAACGTATTATTATATGGCGCACTCACCATCAAGCCTATTCGTGGAGCCCCGGATCGGCTGGCCCACCTTAGCATCTTCTATATGGTCGTGAGAACCTATTCTCGACGGGGGACGTGAAGGAGCTGATCTGTATCCGACAGGGTGCACAGGATCGGCGTCAATTCTAAAGGCTAGATAAATAACCATGTCAGCAGGTTCCTAACGTAACACTTTTGAAGGAAAACAAGGACACTTGAGTCCTGGAAGATAGATGCATGAACTCACAAGGTACATTTTGATTCTGGTATCCATATCGCTCCTGCTGACTAGAAGGTGGCATAGGCCATACCTGCATCTGAACCAGGGGATCAGTCAACACATCATGCTCAATGCCCAACAGCAAGTGAAAAACATGGCACTGTGATTATGGCACTGGATCACTCACCTCAGCTTGCACGCTGCCAGGGTTTTCAAAGTAGGCATTGATAGCTCTATTGGAATCATGGTTGTTTGCCTAGTAATTATTTTATCGCGGCGCAAAAATACTGTTAGCCATTATTGCTCAAAAAGTAGACTGCAAGCTTCCAACCAAGGTTGCCATGGAAATAAAGACCTAAGAGCCCAGGACTTTGTCGTACCTCAAGGAAAGCTATCGCCTGTTCCCGCGTGGCATTTGTGAAGGATATAAAGCTTTCGATGGCATCCGCAGACAGCTCGGAAGAAGCCATCTCGGTGAGAATTTATTCGCACGATAGCTGAGGCGGCTTGAGAGGGAGATAATCTTTGTGGATGGGATTTTGAAAGAGCTTGGTTGCACTGTTGCTTGCAGGCGGGAAAAAATAGCTGGAGTATGTGGCTGCAGTGCCCAGGATATTCGGGGGAGGTTGCTTTACGACCGGAAGAGCAACGTTCGACCTATCTAGCGCTTACTGGCTGGTTCACAGCCGGCAGGAGATTGGGCTGGAGGTCCTCATACAACGTAAGAGGCGAAAGCCGGAGTCCCGGAGGTTATTGGAAGAGTATATTCAGTGTGCTGTTGGAAGTGCTGTATTTGAATCGCCTGGGTGATTTGTATGTTAGGAGATGATGAAAACAGAAGATTTAAGGTTGGTGACTGGAACTTGCCAAGCATGCATGGTGAGGCTGTTTAGGTTGAACAGCAATCAATCATTACCTGCAGAGAGAAGCAGAAGTTCAACCATACACAGCTGAAGTACTGAGAAAATCATCAGGATCAAACTGCATGACATGAAGAATTTAGGACATTAATTTAATATTTCCCATCATCCTGTCTGCATGCTGATTTCGTGCATCGAAACTTTAATATGAGTTTTGATGTGAGGAAGCTTCTTATGAATCTACTGTTAAAATGCACAAGTATAACAAAACTGAGATGCAAGGATCATGAATACATAAAATGAAATATTATGATCTAAGAAAAGGTGAGTTAGTTTCTCTTAATGAAAGTTGGTTATCTTTGGTCAGCGTCTGGCAGGCATCAACTGAAACCCTTGTGGATTGTGCCCTCTCCGGAATCAAGATTTGAGGATCCATACAACCATGTAAAAAAGCCCATCTCACTTCGCTGCGTGGACCTTTTTGTCCTCCTCCTCCTCCTCCTCCCCACTAAGTGCTCATCATTAAAGGCATGCCGGACAGTTGAACTTTAGTCCTCCACTCCAAGAGACTCTTTCAGTGTATGTCAGGAGGTTCGCCGTCATTTTTGTCTAGAGGATGAGATGTGGTAAATCCGTCAACAATCCATGAATGCTGTTACAGCTGGCAAATCCCCTCTATGTCACTTGTCCCATAGTCAAGGCGCAAGCCATGATCTTCATGCCGGTGCCAGCTGCAGAAGCCGTGTTGTCGCGATCCGGGACTGGTCATCTGCACATTTTCTACTCTGGGCTTGTATCCTACTAAAATTAGCCGGCATGTATCTACACATTACCAAAGTGGAGCGGAAGCGATAATTGAGCGTACATACTCTTTGTTCCATTCATTTTGTTTATTGTGTCCAAATATTGTATTTTATATTGCAGCTGCCGACGGAATGTGATGTGAGCCGGTGGGAATCATTTTTTCTTAGAATGCAAGATCCAGTACGACTTCCATGACAGAGGCGCATGTATGTGTTGGAAATGAGATCTTATTTGAGGGCTTGAATTCACAGTGAGCGTTGAAGCTAGGGAGGCGCTGGTGACCTTGGAAAGTCTGCCTCTGGACGGCAATAATAGGACTAATTGAACTCCTCAGCCCAGGAGAAAGTTACATCCCCTGAGTTGTCCGATTCATATATTACCTGGAGGAATGATTGTTTGGTATTCGTCCAGAAGGCCGTTGTAAGAAAAATTGGGGGTAGGCTGTTGAGGGTCAGGTTAAGGAATTTTGTTGCCTGGTGATAAATTCACAACGGCATGCCACAGAAGGCTCATATATGCCTTTTTCTCTCCGTGATTCCTTGTAGCAACCTCTGAAAACCATTACTGCCGGTCGGGAGGAGTGCTTTGCAAATATCCAAAGATGCCTCCCAGACAAAAAGTGCAGGGAATTCGCGGATCAAAGAACGTGCTACCCAGAAAAGAATCAGGGACATCAGCTGTAGAGCCCAGAGCTATGCATTTATCTAGTGCCTCAAGAAGTCTCTGGAGAATAGAGCTTCTCCGCGCTGGGGGAACCACACGGTCGGAAACTATAGACAGCGGACTCAGCTGAGGAGTGGGTACATTCCGTGACGTGAGCATCAAAAAGGTTACGAGTCCAGCAAGAAACTCCTTTTCTAGGCTGTTGGAGATACAGAAATTAAGCAAGATATCAAAAGCAAGTGATGAATCTGGTGGAACTCGAACCATAGGACTGTCATGGTATTCTCCAATTTAACCAATATGACAATGAATGGCTTGGAAATTTTGTTTAGAAAACATACTTGTGCGTGGAATTCAATTTCTTCCCCTTCGGCATCAAATCCACGGCGCACGGGATGTCTCATTCACATTCACTGGCTTCACCACAGCTGGCCATGGACCGTGTATGACCATGCAAGATCAATACTTGCAAAGTGACCTCTCTGATCTAGCGAGTCGGTGAGATGCACACTTGAAGACGGAAGTATATCGTATGCCCGGGGCTGGCCAAATTCAAAATCCTGATAATAGTCTGCAACCTTCAACCTTTGATCACAGGCGGGTCGTTTGTAGTCTCAATCTTGGGAATTGAATGCAAGACAGGAAAAGTTTTTTTTTCCCCTCCGCCTTTGATATCGACACATTCTGGGGGTTTATGGAAATAGGGCGCGACATCTTTGACATCTTTTAACGTATCCAGAAAAGCATCCACAACGGAGGTTTGGAAGTCCCATCTCTCGGCGTAGGGGACGTAGCACAACATATATCGATCGCAACTTAGCTGGAAACACTTGTTGAATTGTGAATGCGAAGGACAGATCCATCACCATAATGCCACTCCCCGATATCTTCCTCTTTTTGAGAATCAAAGTCAATATTGTCCTGCTCTTCTCCGTCACCCATAGCGCAAATATACATTAAGGTGAGGGACGTCTGGGAGGGGCAGCTGAAGTCTGATATTGGGATTGGTCGGTTTGGTTCGAATCAAGACGAAGAACAACAACAGAATAAAACATTGGCAATTATTAGCCAGCCCATGATTGAACTGTTGGAAATATATGAGTTTCTGCAATGCATTGCTCTCAATATATCATGGATGCAAAAACACCAATACAAGGAATTTGACACTCTGAGCAAATACCCATGGGTTGGTGGAATTGAGATCGGCTATTATTAGTTAAGTTAACTAGTTAAATAATCGCTGAAATTTGTTTGGCTGGCGGCCCCGCCTCTGTACATTCCATTGATTGAACTCAGAACAAGTCATAATTAGCTGAAACTTGGATTCTTGTTGTGCCTGTGCCATACTTTGTTTCGCGCTGCTCTCCACAACTCCAACCAGCCGACAAGAACTCCGCAATTACAAGAGATATTCCAGGAACTGCGGGGAAACTTCCAGAGACACAACTACCGCGAACAAGGGCTAAAAGGCATGCGATTCGGCGGTTACATCGCTGTGCCTCAACAAGCGCCGAAATGAGCTGCGAGCCGAAGACGCCAACACTCTACAGCGGGTTTTGTGCCGGCATGCCTTAACAAATCTCTCCTTCATCATAAATTGTTTTGATACCTCTCGAACTGTCTTTGTCTTTCAAATCCAAAGGGAAGGTCATTTCTTCTGCATTTCTCCTGCTTTAACATTCTAGGCTCACCATTTTCTACCTCAAAAGGGAGGCCGAGCTGCACAACAGAGTTACCACAACACCGCCACCGTTGCATCATTCCCCCGCATTTTTGCTCTCGCAGGGGGAAACATCAACCTCCAAACTCCAATTCCGAGAATGATATAACATTATACCTGTTTACTTAATAGAGCATACGATTCAGGATACCTGTTTAATACTTTCAGCTATGCGGGGGTCTCAGATTTGGCGGGTGTCTTGCAAGGCAAGGTCGAGAATAGCGACCTTGAGGGTTAGAGGGTCTTTTCCGCTGCTTCAAAGGCGATCGCTTCTGACAATGAGCCATGCAAGAGGTCCAACAGAGGTTAGTGGGGCTATCTGTAGCTGTTATATGTATATACATAGATATCATTTCAGGCCCAATTCTACTCAGTATTTCTGTCTCTGAATGATGTTTTACCTGCTAACATTGACTCGTGGCTGCTTCTGGCATGCGCTTCCATCTATGATTAGCCCCCTTTATTCGAGCAAACCGTTGGAGAACATTTCGCAAACATCGTGTCCAAATATGGTGACCGAACAGCGTGCGTGCATTCACCTTTTCCCGCCGCCGGGGGCGAAATTTTATGCTGACTGAGCGCCTATCAGTGTCGTGTCGAGGCATCAGGGGCAACGACTGACATACGAAGAATTGGACCAGAAGAGCAATGAGCTGGCTCGCGGATTAGCTGCAGGCGGGCTTGTTAAGGGTGATCGAGTGGCCGTTTCATTGGGGAATTCTATTGAATATGCAATTGTAAGCTATGGTGTGGATATGAATATCGCCTCCCCTCACCCCCTTGGGAATTGTGTCAGAGCTCCTGGTAGATGATATACATGTTCAAATACCTACTGAATTTAACGCCTAGGTAACATATGCCTTGTTCAAACTTGGAGTGATTCTGGTAAGTTAAATTTTTATTTCAAACAAGGGAATCATATTCATGTATATTAACCCATTCACACATCCTCCCAGGTCCCATTGAACCCATCATTTAATGTTAACCAGATAGTCGCTGCACTCAGCCATCTGGAAGCTTCCCAGTTGATTATTAGTACAGAGGTAAACCTACCGCGTCGAGAACCTCGCTCAACTGTCCCATTGCTTCAACAAATAGTTCCCGACCTCCTCAGCCCGAAGCTCCAGTCTCACAACATCCCTTCTCTGAAAAGAATCATTCTTGTCAGCAATGACGATGGCCGCGTTGACACAACTTCACTTAACTGCACAACTCACTTCTCCTCCCTAATATCGAACCTCGCGCAAGATATGCGCCCCTTGCCACCGCAGGGCCTATCGCCAAATGACATCGTAAACATACAATTTACATCAGGCACCACCTCCATGCCAAAGGCTGCCTGCCTAACTCATCGATCAATTCTTAACAATGGGGTTCAAATCGGGGACCGCATGCTATTCACTCCGAATGATATTGTCTGTTGTCCGCCACCTTTATTCCATTGCTTCGGGTGTATCTTGGGATACATGGCAACTGCAACACACGGCTCAGCAATTGTATTCCCGGCCGAATCCTTCAATGCCATCGCAACCCTCAAAGCTGTCCAGGAAGAGAAATGCACAGCTCTCTATGGAGTGCCCACGATGTTTGTTGAAGAATTGGAGCTTCTGGCGGATGGGAAAGTGCCCCATGAAGGATTTCAATATCTACGAACGGGAATTGCAGCTGGCAGCAGCGTTCCAGCAGAATTGATGAAAAAGCTCCATAAGACGCTGAATCTAACGGAACTAACCATCTGCTATGGCATGACGGAAACTAGCCCGGTTTCAGCTATGACGACAACGCATGATCCTATTGAAAAGAGAATTACGTCTGTTGGGCGTCTCATGCCTCACGTGGAGGCCAAGGTGGTTGACCCGTACGATAGAAGCAAGATACTTCCGGTGGATACCAAGGGTGAACTCGTAGTGAGCGGCTATCTGGTTATGAAAGAATATTGGGGCGCTCCCGAACGCACGGCGGAGGTGATGGTGAAAGATGAGGAAGGGAAAGTCTGGATGCATGTAAGTCTTCGCACAACACTTACTCAATTGGACGCGGGATATTACGACAGCAGTTTCACGATTGACTAATACTTTCCTCATTGTGTAATGGATATAGACTGGTGACGAAGCTACGATATCAGCAGACGGATACATAACCATCACCGGCCGGATAAAGGATATTATCATTCGTGGGGGTGAAAATATCCATCCATTAGAAATTGAAAACTGTCTTTTTGCTCATCCTGGTGTGTCGAATGTGGCTGTTGTCGGAGTTCCTGATGAAAGATACGGAGAGGCTGTAGCAGCCTTTGTGGTTCCCCGAGAAGAAGTCGAGGAGATGATCACTGCAGAACAAGTCAGGGTGTGGGTGAGGGAAAAACTGAGCCATCATCTAGGTAAGATTTTATCTCCACTTTCCTCTCTTTCTCTGTTTCTTGTTTATAGTGCTCGTTTGGAACCTGCAAGATTCTATGATGTCATATCGTTTCACTTTGAAGAGGCTTTGGACACCTGAGTCCTCGAGCCTCCTTCCCCTCGTCGATGTCAACCATTCAATATGCGCCAAGTATCCAAGACACGGATCACCCGCATGCTTGTCATGCTTGTTTTTGCACCGTTTTCTTGTCTCTGCTTTCACCCCCCAAATCCATGGTCGTGGCCCCGCTCGGGCCCATGAGAGCGCTACACGAGGTCTCCACGCCACAAAAGCATCTTCCACCTCTTCAGATGAGCCCCAAACCATCCCTCACGGACCATCTTTCGTATTTGGCGAAAGGATCCCCCCATTGGTTCATTTTGTTGTATATATTTTTTTGCATCTCTGCATTTTTCCACAACTCTTAGCTGCTGCACTCTCCACTGCAATGGGGTTTCTCTGGTTTGGTCTTAAGACTATCGACTGCAGGAGACTTCATCGACTCAGGGATATCTCCTGATTCTAAAAAAAAAAAAACCTGCTGTTGCTTATTCTCTTGGTGATCAAGGGGGGTTTCATACTCACCTTCCGTCACAAAAATATCCCTCATACAACGCCCTGTCCGACCATTCTGGCCCATTTTAGCGGTAAATTTTTTCCCTTCCCCTGCCTCCCTAAACCGTTCTGTCAATGAATAGTGTTTTACTCGAAACCAAAAACCTGAGTCGTCTGACTTGGTTTCTATTGCTTCTGCTCCATTTTGGAGACGTTGCACAAACCAATTATATCAGCCAGTTTCGATTCCGCCTTGACATTGTTTCCCTCTCCCTTTCTTTCCTCTGCCTGCGTTAACTCAAATGTTGTAATTGAAAATTTCTCCCCCATTTTTTTTCGTTTCTTTAACGCTGCCTTAAGAGTTGCACCTGTTCCTCCATCCATCCCCACACATATATTACCCTACTTCGGTGTATTTATCTGCATCAGACACCAGCCAGATATCCGCAAGTCAAGCCTTGTTATAGTTGAGCAAGGTTTAGTTCCTGCGGTTCGCCTGTTCTCAAACTGCATATTTGCCCAACCTCTCCCCCTTTAAGGAACAACATCGCGTTAGCGATGAACATCTCACTTTTTCGTCGTCCAATCCTAAATCCATCCTCATGCATTTTCCCCAACTCACTAGATCCCTATCAGCTTTGATAAGGCATTGAGTGGGGTGTCAAGGATATGGGAAAGAAAAAAAGAAAGAACGAAAGAAAGAAATGGAGCCAACAAAGGGCAAAATGGAATGGTACACCAAGCTAGTTCTCAACAGCGTCTTACGTATTTTCTATACAGTTCCGAAACACGTATTCTTCATGCAAAATTCGTCCGACTTCCCCAAGACCGCGAGCGGGAAGATCCAAAAATTCAAGCTTCGTGAACAGGCCCTCGTCTTACTGGAACGCGAGGAATGAGTGAAGGGTTGGATTTAGAAGGGCGGGGAAGATCGGGATCATTCCGTGAGACGAGATGACTCCGCTTGGCCTTGTGTACAGCACATTTTGTATTTGCTACAAAACGTCGTGTGTGTGTGTGTGTGTGTGTGTGTGTCTGAAGTTTTGATGATGGCTGATTTATTGAAATAGGATGTATGTATGTATGTTCAAGATTCTACCTTCATTGTCTTTAGTTGTTTAGATGCCTAATTGCCTGGGCACCACCTAGTTAGGCCTTAATACCATTATACATTTCATGGTTAATTTAACGTCTCTTCCTTCTCCTTGTCAATCTCTCACTCGATGAGTACCTAAGCATCCCCCTCGATGTAATGCTGGGAGAGACAAGCACATATCGTATCTTGAAAAGCACAAAGTCATTGGCACGAAGTGGAGAGATGGAATTGGGCGTGATGGGGCAATAAAGCGAGCACAGCAGGCAATTGACCCCGTTTTGGCTAGAGTAACGGGCTTGGATAGTTACAGAGGAGAATTGGGAGGGACCCGGGAAGGAAGCAAAAATCCCCTCCTGGTAGGTTGGAAGACGAAGACAAGCATACATGATCATAGTCTGGGTTGGCTGGTGGCTTCCTTCTCTCGCCCTTTCTATCGTGAAAAAAACTTCAATGTCCATAATCACCCCCATGACGTGCACAGGGGGTCATTATGAAGCGCATTCCTTGCTCTTGTCGCCCGTTGTTTTCGCTACAATTAAAGGTGGGGGAAAGAGGACCAGAAACACCACATTGAAGATTGTTCTGGGGGGTTTTCCTTTCTTTTTCCGGTGCGGAAAACAAGCATTTCTAAGCTTTTCAGCCAAGTGAAAAGAAGGGGGGAAATGCGGAAGGGATGGCCTCACGGGATTCATTTACTGTTCAACATCCTTCTCCTCCGTCCAATTCAAAGCCAGTGTGTCTCAAAGGTGCGATTTCATGACCCGGGTGGCGGGTAGGTCAAAAACATCAACCATTTCCGCAAATTAGTCGTATGGAGCTGCGACTGCGGAAGCTAAAAAGCCATGAACCCAGATAGAGTGTTAATTATAGAAAAGAAAAAAGATAAATGAGATCATGCGCAGCAAGGTGATTTATAATTGCTTCGCCTCCCACAAAACACACACCCCCAGTCCAGTTCAACCTTCAGGAGAATCTATGTAGCTTGTATAACTAGCCATCTGTGGAAGCGATCAAACAAAAACGCATGTCGTGATTAAAATCAGGGTCAACCCTCGTACAATGAGGTGAGCGAGGCGAGTATGCGGGGCTGAATAAACTCCGTCACATTTTGCACGTTGTCGTAACGCCACATACATCCATTCCATTCCATCCACACATACATCCATACATACATCCATATACATCCATATACATCCATATACATCCATACATATACATACATACACATGGCATTTTCTACTGTTGCTCTGGACCCATGTATTTTAGGTATAAGGACGCCTCGTATGTGACATTTCGCCCGCCATCTGTGGGGAAAAAGGGAGTGCTTCAAGTCTGGAACAAAGAGTCTAGGGGGCCAATGCTTTAACTTCAGACAACCTCATGGGCCCTCGTGTCATGTTCAAAGAATTTTTCTAAACTTGGGAAAGGCTAGAGGCTGATGGGATACTTTTTTTCTTTCTTTCTTTCTTTCTCATGTCAAAGTTCCCAACCTAGAGTGCCAAATTGGAAATATAGTTATATGAAAATTGAAAGATTCTAAAAGTAAAAATACAACAACAAAATTTGGCTGACGGACAAAGGATATAACAGGGACCTTGATTTAATTTTGATTTCTTTTTCAAGTCGTGTGTGTCCTCGCCATCAATTATTCCCCGACTTTCCGTGCCGCCGCGTTGGCGAACTCGGCGGGTCAAGATAATAAATCATCGCACCAAACAAATGCCATCGGTGACATACATCATCCCAGAGATGCCAGGGGGAATGCCCACACTTCAGAAGGGTGGGTGGTATGGATTTTGTCCGTTTTGGAGGATCCCGAGTCTCCTGCCAGTTTGCAGGGGGGGGGGGGGGTTAGTTTTTACTCCGTTCAAAGATGCGAAAGAGACGGTGAGCAAAGGCAGCAAATCCATTTGAGCAGAAATTGGTTCAGGGATTTGGTGGATGGTTTTAAGTGTTTACGGTAGATCGGCTAAAAGCCCACTGGCTAGGGAGTAGAGCTCATATGCCTCATATCCATAGGGCTAAGGTTGGAGGGATTTTGCGACCGCTACATCGCGGCATGGGCATGTTGCATTCATATAGGTATAGTGATCTGGGGCAGGTTGATCTGCCGCTTCCATACGACGAACGCACTCGCTCACATCTATGGGGTTCATCGCAGCGGGGTTCCCCAAGGGGAATGTCCGTGTGTTGAATTGGATATTTATGTAGGAGGCTGACGTGCAGGTAAATTATTGAAGAGCGATAAACAATGAAGCCCGTGCCCACGCGCGGTGTGTCTCGTTGGTTGCTCTACTAATAATAAGTTAACGTTGCGCAACTTGCCGCCCACGTGCCCCCTTGCCTGTTGCAGACTAATCTCTCATTGCTGTATATAATATATCACTCATACAAATGGAATTTGGAACCGCGCTCATTAGTTAAAGGAGAGAAACGAAAACATTTTATGTAAATCAGAATTGGCTACGTCTTTATGGGGTCTCAAATTATATTAATGCCTTTATATATCTCCGGGCGATCTTGCCCGGCATATCGATACAGCCAACACCTACCAGTCTGATTTGAAAGTTGAACGAGAGCCATCTGGAAACCTCCAGAGTTTTAATTCTTCATTATTCAGGCACTGGTGATTCGCAGTCGTTTTGTTAGTAGCCAATAAATAGCTGTTGGCCTGATTATCCAACTTAGGCCTGTATGTACATGTGTGTGCGTATTATTTTCGTCTCTGGAAGGATCGAGACCCCGCCAGCAAAGATCCGATAATTAGGTGAATTGTCCCAAGTGCCCTTCCCTTGCAGTTATGCGTCTGGGGAAATGGGAAGCTGGAACAGGGCAGGGGGGGTAGGGCGTTGTCGGGGAAAAGACGAACCGTGTTTGTATGGACCGTGCAGAGAGGCATGCAATAGTATCGACATTATGATGTCGAGCACGGAGTGCGGAGTAGCTCCTTCAGACATAACGTGGTGAGCGGTCGTATTTATATCAATTCAATATATTTATCCTCACCACTTGTCAGGCGATTGATGCGTTGTGCTAGGAGGCAGAGGTGCGGGATATATTAATTCCCTCCCCCCGTTTACCTCCATAGAGTTAGTTGCATCATAGTTTGATATTCAATGGAAGGCATGGAAAAAAAAAAAAAAAAAAAAAAAAAAAAACCATTGGAATGGATGCAAGATATATTCTCCGCATGTATTCTCCGTATGCATGGAATGGAAAATCCAAGGGCGAGGAATCCCAGTCATGTCATTGTATGTAATATCATCCCGGCATTGTTTGAACCTTTTGGCGTAAAACCAACAAACCATGGGTAGTAAGTAGTAAATGATCCAATTTTCAGAAAGAAAAGTATCAAAACTATCCAGTTCATCATCCTCCGGTTTCTCCCTCAATGCGAAAGAAGAAAAGAAAAAAACCAAAACCAAAACCCATAACGACGACCCCCACACCCTCCATCCTTTTCCTGGGAAGTTCCATTTCTCTCCGTTCCCCCTCATTCTCGTTTCTCCACAGTCCCTCCACAGACGTCATTCCAACCCACGCCAGAAGGGGAACCGACGCTTAGCTCGGGTGTTGGAAAGAAGTAATCCCATGCGAAGTCCGTTGCGTATGAGGAAAAAATGCCAAGCAAGCGGAAGTTGATTATTTACTTGAAAGTCACGCAGGAGGCGACATTGGTTGGCAAGGGGAAAACCGGCCCTGGGGCGCCTCGCCTGTCGGGATCCAGTTTACGATCGTTGTCCTCCCGCCTAATCAAAATCATCAATCACGCGTTTTTGTTGGGATTTTATTGGAAGAAGTTTTGAACAAGTTCCTCTACAAGAACTAGTTGAACTGATGGAATCATTTTGCCCTGAGAAAACAGAAAAATTTGAAAAAAAAAAAAAAACCCCTGAATTTTCATTGTTAATAATGTATACCTTGGGTAATCCGACCAATTGCCCCCCCATGGGGAATAGAAGGAGGTGGGTGGGGGAAGTGGAGAGATATAGGCCATGATTTTCCACTGTGGATGGAGTGTTTCGTTTTTAACAAGTCGCGTCGAGCAAGAACAGGTACCTATTCATATAACTCCATATGTTGGAAGTGATGTGCATGGGAACATTTAAATGTAGTAGTGAAAAAAAAGGTCCTCGATGGTTTTCTTATGGACGTTGTTGCGTCTTTGCTGTACGTGTCAATGCTACGGTGAGAGCGGCTAGTTCAGTGGGGTTGGTTTTTCGTCTCTTTCATCTGTCTCTTAGTAGTCGTATTCATCCACAACTCGATTCATACAGCGCTATAATTGTTGGACGGTTACATGAAAAGAAAATTCAATCGCGTTCGTCGCTACCTTTCCATCAAGTTGGAATTGTAGAAGTAGTACTGCGTAGTGGTTCATTTCAACAACGACAATGACAAGCACTCCCGCGCATAACGACTTGAATACGACCCCTGGTATAGGGATCATAGGCTAAGAAGAAACCAAGCCCAACCACCCCCCAGCAGCCCAGCTCATCATCTGGGTTGCTTTTGCCTCTTTGTTCTTGTTATCCCACATGGTTGGGTTCAAGCTGAAAGTAGACCCAAATCCAACCGACCTCGTGCGAAGACAGGGCAATGCTATTGGTATTTTGGCATTGTGAGTGATATGGATGCATTAACTACTTCGACGAAGGAGGTTCTTCTCTTATTTTTCCCTTTTTTGTTAAGTTCAACCTGGGACTCGGGATGGGCGGTTAGTTAAAACTTGTCGGTTAGGCTCAGTCCTTGATAACTCCGCAAGTTGACCCGAGGTACCGAACAAACTCTCCTTGCCAGAAATCTACGGAGAATTTACTGTACCCAAGCTGTTGTTCGAATCGGCTGTTTCGGATTAATATTTTTTTGTCAGCTTGTTACTTACACTTCGATTTTTCCATGTTTGAAATGAACCAAGCTCAACGAGAGGTTTGCTGGTTAGTATCGGGGTTCCAGCGTGATTCTTGGACATTCCCCCGGTCCGCACCAGCTTCTTGTTTCGTGCATGGCTAGTCTGGGAGGGTCTTCTGATGCAAGAGATGTGGCGACAGCAAGGAGCGTTCCGGAATATTTAAGGAGCATAGTTTTGGAGGGGGGACAGAGGGTATAATTTTCAGTACCAGCGTGTATTGATACGGAAAGATAGAGTTAAAGGATTTCATTTCGTAACTAATTCTCGGCACACATTTTTCCGGCAAAGTGCGGGAAAAATGGGGTTGGTTTTTTAAATTAACAAACGTTGATCGCAGTTTTAAATCTCAGCCAGAAAAAAATCTTCAGACTGGATTCTATGAATAATGCCCTAAATCATGGCACTGCTCATTTAAAAACTACACATACTAGTTCATACCTCACACATTTATCTCACACACATCTCCCAGAAACTCTAGACGACGGTGATTTTTTCACTATATTTCTCAAAGGTCCTTACTCCTTCACTAACCCTAATCCTAATTCCTATCTGTCCTTAACCTGGTTGTTGAAGGCGGGAGGTTGAAAGGTGTGTTAATAATGTGTGGGGTGACCCATTGGTTTTGGAAAGACGGGCTCTCCTATTAAACCACGTTCGACTATAAACCCCGGAAAAATGCAACACAAAAGTTCGAACCCCCCAGTGCCCGCGAACCTTGGGAATTCCAGAAAAGCTAAAGAAGGAACCAATGGCCCAATCAGAACTGGGGCCAAAACAGATAAAAGCGGTTTGACGGTTTAGTCCCTTGGATTTAGCTTTATTGTAGAGCCAAAACGCTTCTTCTTGACACCACTTTTAGCATTTCTGTAAATACTCTTTCTATTTTTACAATACCGAAAAAGAATGCATTGCCCCGTGCATAATCATATTACTTTGAAGCCTCTATCAGAGCAACTAATACTCCACGCTTTCCACCCAAACACCCACTGCCGTCGGGCATGGACGTGCAGTGCATCACTGACACACGTTATTAATATGCTTGTGTTTGATCATAATTGATGATGCACCGAAAGATGACTCCCAAAAGAGGGGATGGTAAATTACCAACCGAAAGAAAGGATTTCCTCTTCTCTCGTTAAGTTTCCAATCTTTTCTGCCTAAGCATTTCAAAACGAATTTGCGCGTAATAAATATTGGCATCTCTATCTCTTGGGGTCCGCGCAGCGGCGGTGCCAAGGATAAATGGGGGGACAATGAATGAGCGGGAAAATGAGCGGGGAGGGTGGAGAGATATTCATAAAATGAAATAAAAAGGCTAGGCGGGGGGATGCTACGGGTCACAAAAGCTAAGAGGGATGTGGGTATGTATGGATGGAACGTACGTGGGCATGGAACCTTTCCTTCTTTACCCTGCATTATTGTGAGCTTGGCCCGAGACGTCGGCTCCGGATATGATGTGCTTTTCTTGGCCCGCTCCTGGGTGGCATTCGTATGATAACTAGATGGTTCCTATTATGATCCACTAGTAATAACCCTCCTCACTATACAGAATAAAATTCAAGATTGGATGATGTGATGATATCGTGGGGGGAGGGGGCCTGAAAAGAACGGTCGTGAAAATTCTGATATCAATAGCAACAGGTTGATATCTTCCGCCGGCATAGATTTAGGTGCTTTATCCATGGATCTTTAATGAAAATTTGGCCGGGGAGGTGAGAAGGGGGCGCTACACAGTTTAATAACGTGTAACTTGGGCAATTTCTCTGAAAGCTAGTTCCAGAACGATTTCCACTCTTCCCCAACATATCCCCAATCAGGTGCATGTATGTATACACCTGGGCATCTTCTTGACCATCCCAGGCAAGGTTCCCTTCATCCCAACCATCTACTTGTCTCCTTGAACAACACAACAAGGAGATAAGGCGCAAGATCTTGAATCGTATCATTTCATTGCCCAGGCCAGCCCGGTTTATCCCCGTACCCGTATTGTATCGTAGCAGCATTCTCCCCGAACTTGACAATCATAGAAAGAAATGGATATCTATCCTTTCTGGAACACTTCCAGCCCAAAAAAAAAAAAATTAAAAATTAAAAATAAAAGAAAAGAAAGAAGAAAAAGAAAAACAGGGTCCTTGCCGCTCATGCCGCGGCATACGCAGACAAGATTGTCCTTGATTCCATATTGGAAATTCTCCAGGTGGTGGCCCCTGCGCCTGTAGCCGAAGGGTATGATTGACGTCTTCGATCAGATCATTAAGGGGCTAACTTAATCATAACTTCTCCACATGGAACCATAGATTGTGGCAATGAGAGGAGACATGGAGAATATCAAGAACGGGCCCCATGAAATACCACTATTGGGTTAAAGCAGAGAACGACTCCCTGCAAAAAATAACTAGTTGAGGATCAACGGTTGCGTCCAAATCCAATGGATCGCAACAATACCCAATATAGTTTTAAAAGGTCTTCAGCCGGTCAGACCTTTTGCCCCAGTATGTACAGCAGAGCGACGCGGCAAGTTCGAATTCCTTCATCAGGCGCTAAACAACTATTTGGAAATCAAATTGCCCGAGTTTGGCAAAAACACATGTCCGTAGGATTTAATTGTATAAAAGAGTTGGTCCAAACTTTTTGCGAGCCACTGAGTTGAAGCCCGTACTATTCATGCGCAAAGAACAGGCTCTGTGTGATTCTGTCGCATTGCCATGCCACGCTGCGCAAGAGGCTGCGCGAGCAGCTAGTCACTAGTGACTAGTAGTCATTAAATGGCCATCCTAGGGCGTATATTATCAGGCCTCCCGACGGTGGAAGAAATAACAGACAAATGTGAAAAGGGAAGATATCGCAAGAAAAGATATTCAATATTTCAATTACTGTATAAAATACTTAATTTTTTTTTTTTTTTTTACCGCTCATCATCGGTTCAATTCCACCAGTTTGTCTTCGAAGGTGTCAAACTCAGGACCTTAAAATGAAGTGGGAGACTTTTGTTTTATATGCCATTTTATGCGTATTTTTGGTGGTGTTTTGCAAATATGTACGATACAAAATACCTCCTCTGAACATGCTTAGTATAACAACTTGCAGCAATCTTTCGTTTCGAATAGAGTTTTTCTTTTGCCAAGGATTACAAATCACAACTGACTAACTTTCTGTCACGACGATACGAGGATCGCCCTTCCAAGGTTTACTTTGAGAATACCGACAAGCGGACACCGTACCGGTAATTCGCGGTACTGAGGGCTCTGCATTTTTGCCGTTCACGAAAGTTACCACTGGACGCCAAGCAGCGCACCCGTCAGGCTTTTTTTCCTTCTTTTTTGCAGTGTCATCATAGCATCATGGCTCTTTACCGTATTTTCCCCATATATACTTAACTTTTACGCCCCCACTCCCACTTTCCACTTTCCCGCTGAACAAATGATCCAACCTTAACTACTGCGGTTCCATCCCTGATTATATCCTCGGATTTCCTCTTCTCATTCTACTTTTTTTACCTTTTCATCTCTCTGATCTTCATCCCTTTTCAGCCTCTTCAGCCTCTTCAACTCTTCCATCTCCACTCAACCTCTCATCCCAACTTCATATTTAATACATTTGGCCACTCGCAACTCGCATCTATCCTCTCCAACTCTTTAATAATCCCCCGCTACATTGTCCCTCAACTTTCGTATAATCTTCTATCCGACTTACTGATGGGTTCCACGTATTCAACTTGCTCCCTCCCACATCCACTCACCTTCTCTCCCCATCATATAGTTATTCAACCCTTTCGGTTGCTTTAGCTCCCATGCAAGGGGAATTAGCCGACAACCGCTCCTTCTCTGCCCGTCCAGATCCCCCGAAAAAGACTCCTTATCTCCTGAAAAGATTCAAATCTAGCGATTGCGCCCAAGAAGAATCCCCCGTAACACCATTTTTCACTTCCAATACATCCTTCAACAGAGTGAGCCTTCACTCATCTGATCGGGCCGGGCGTCTGAAGCAGCTCATTCGTCGTAGATCTTCGAACATCTTAATACCCGCCAGATCCGGAGGGAAAGAAGAAGTAAAAGTGACAGTTTATTAGTTTGGCTGGATCAAACTATTAAGGTATTTTTACTCTTATCAGCATCCGGATCTTCTTGGGTGACTTTCAAGGAGCAACCGAGTGTATTGTTGTTGAGAAAGGAAGAAAGAAAACCAGGGACATATTTTTGAGTGGTTGTAAACAGCCATGCCGGACCCAATAATGTCAACACATGTTGTGTACCCGTCGGGCAGCCATTCATCTGCTGGCAATACCGACCACATAAATGGCCAGCTCACAAATCCTCTTGCAGGCTTGACACTTACAGCTGATCCTGATCTCGAAAACACGCGAATAAATGACTTACCAGAAGCTATTGCGGAGGGAGATGAAGAAACTGCTAGCGAACCGACTGAGCCGCTGACTCCAACGAGTGATTCACACCCCACCGCTCCATTCAATGATTCTCCGCATTTTGAAGCTGTTTCCAAGCCAATAATAACTAACACTGATGCTACCCCCCCAACGACACCCGTAACCTCTTCCCGTCCCACAACTGCTACTTCCACAACAGCCTCCACAACTCCCCGATCATCGCAGCTAAGATCTGCATCCATTTCCTTTAGATCGCTTTTTCGACGAAAAGCCAGCCTCAATAACGGTTTAGATGGCACCGCTACTGCGCAAACTGCATATCATAGCCCGCCTATTGCAAACCAACCCAAGAATGTCTCGGTAGACACCATAATTCGCAATGAATCATTATCTCCTTCTCACATTTCGCCATCTTCATCGCATTCAGGTTCACCTCCATCCCCGTCCTCTCCGTCAAGTACATTCCTGCCTCCTGCGGTGGCTATGTTGGGCATATCTACGCAATCAGAGTCAATTTTCATGCAAAAGAAACCCATTCGCTCCTCAACGGGACTGAGCTTAAAGGATCGAGGCAAAATAATGTTTGGATCAACCCCTAGACCTCCAAGGGAAGAGTCAAGAATACGATCTCCTAGTTTAGGTGATGTGCAGAATCAACCTGAGCGTCCTGGATTCTCAATACCAGCCGTGGCAGGTGTGGGGTTGAAATCTCGTCGGATGAGTGCTAGTCTTCCTGATGACTTTTACGTCGATACCTGCGAATTAAATGACGAATATGTGAGTGCTAGCAGGGTTCCAGGCAAGAGGGGAAAGGAAATTGGCAAAGGTGCAACTGCGACGGTCAAAGTGATGTGTCGGAAAGGCGGGAAAAGGGTTGAGCAATATGCGGTTAAGGAGTTCCGGAAACGTGGGCAATACGAGGATGAGGAGGAATATATCAAGAAGGTCAAATCTGAATTCTCAATTGCTAAAAGCCTGAATCACCCTAATATTGTCAAGACCTTTCGACTTTGTACGCATAATGGCCGATGGAACCATGTGATGGAGATGTGCTCGCACGGAGAGCTGTTCTCACTCGTCCAGAAGGATTACCTCGAACCAGTCGATAATCTCTGCTTCTTTAAACAAACGGTCCGTGGCGTGGCGTATCTACATGACAATGGGATTGCACATCGCGACATCAAGTTGGAGAATCTGCTACTTTCCGATGAGGGTCATGTTAAGATTACCGACTTTGGCGTTTCGGAGGTCTTCAGTGGAATCCATCCGGGACTGCGTGCTTCGGGGGGCATGTGCGGTAAGGAGATGAAGGAGGTCACTTTGTGTTCTCCCGGTATCTGTGGCAGTTTACCCTACATTGCACCGGAAGTGCTGGAAAAGAAAGGTAACCTTTTTTCACTATTTTCATTTCCCTCTCTCCTTACAATTGCCATGTTAAATTTTACGGCTACTTACAACAGCACAGGCAACTATGATCCTCGTCCTCTGGATATCTGGTCGTGTGCCATAGTCTTACTCAGTCTTACCTGCCGCGGCAACCCCTGGCCAGCAGCAGAACCCAAATACGAAAATTACGCAAAATTCATCGAAGGCTGGAACAAATTCCTAGCAAACAACCCAGACCGTGTTGTTACAGAAACCAACTATCCCAAATGCGGTCCCATTTTCAGATACAAGATCAAGCACGCCGGGATCATGCGCATGTTGCTCAAAATGCTCCATCCAAACCCCGATAGACGCTCCACAGCCCACGAGGTGATGCAGGACCGTTTCTTTAAGTCTATTGAATGCTGTGCGCCGGAACCCATCGACCCGGCTAAGGCTGTGACGTCAATCGATGCGGCGAGCAGTGGGTGTCATAAGGCTGCTAGTCGCATGTTTGTGCAAAAGAATCATCACCATTTCCCGAGGGCGAAGAAGATCATTCTGCAACATCGGTTTGATATGGGTGATGGTTATCAGTAGCCTTGCCTAATTTATGAGACGCTGCGCTACCTAGTAACAGCTCCTATGGCTTGGGGATGTGCTACTGGCGCAGTTCTCCACTTCCTACCTCTCGAATTTCACACATACTCTGGCATCCACCCAACCCCAATATACGCTACTCTGACCCTCATAACCAATTTCGCACACCACATAATCGGCCCTACCTGCCTTTTGTTTCCTCCCACCCCTATATCTTACCTATCCCTCCACGATCACCGGTCATCAACCCTGTTTCCTCCCCTTCCCCCAAAATACCCTGACCCTGCAAAAATCCAATGCCCCCTTTATCCACACACTACGCCGCCATTCTCCATTCCTCCTACCTAACTGTACCCTCACTCATGCACCTGTGGAGAAACACTCTCATAATCAGATCATGTTTTCCTGTTATTTTTTCTTTCTTTTTTCTTTTTTCTTTCTTAATAGGGGCAGGCTAAAAATGAGCTACTTCGAGTTACGTACATACATTGCATGATTGCATGGGTGGTTTGAGATTGTGTTTTGTTTCTGTTTATCGACATTTTCTTGTGTTTTTAGTTTCCTTTCTTCACCTTCTCATGGTGGTTGCATTGGGTACGTTTTGGTGTCAGTGCTTAACCTTGCTGCGTTCTTCCCCTTTGTAAGCTCTTCTTTTTTTTTTTTTTTCTTCTTCTTTTTCTTTTACAAGCTTATTCCGCTATGATTGCATCTGCAGCGGGCGATGATGTGTGTTCACCCTCATTTTATTGTCCTTTCTTTGCCTCCTTTGGATTTTCTTTGGTTGTTGTCATTAAAACTCATGATTTCCTGGTGGTGATTGGTCCATTCTACGCTTCTTGTTTTCAAAAAAGAGAAAAAAATCATGTATTGCTAAGGGTGGGTTGATTCCTTTCCTCTTTGTTAACTATTATTTAATTTTCTCTTTACATAAGATAATTAGGTAATTCTAATCCTAATTCTTTTTTTATTTTATTTTTTTATTTTATTTTGTTTTATTTTTATTTTTATTTTTATTTTTAATTCTTCCCAACCTTTGGCTTTCCTTTCCATGTTGCTGCCTTTCACACATTCATCACACAACACATCTTGTGTTTTGTCCTTCTTTTCTACCTGACTCTTTGTCATTCAATTTTTTCCATATCCTTCATTTTCTTTACATCGTTTACACACATACTCATTCTGCTATTATTGTTACGAAGTAATGTATATCTAATTCCTAATGAGGATTGCAAATATTCATTCTCATGGGCCCCCAGCCAGTCATCAAGGGCCAAGTCAAGAGGTCAACATTCAACATTCTCAAAAAACTGATCCACCATCTGAGCAGCAGCAGCAGCAGCAGCAACAGCAGTGACACTACTCCTATGCAGCCACCCAAAAAGAAAAGAAAACAAATAAATAAAAATAACAGACACGATCCAATCAGTGAAGACTGCTTGGGAGAAGGGCGGGCGCGGCCCTTCCTCCTAGGAGCCTTGGCGGCAGTTCTTGGTGCTGCAGTCTAAAATTAATCCCGGGCGCCGATCTGCAAATCTATCCAGGCTTGGCAAAGGGGAAAATGGGAGGGGGTTCTTGGCGCATGATGCGGCTTTGCGGATTCTCTTGGACTTTTGCGGTTGCAGATTTCCTCCCAAGGGAAGGTTTCACGGGTCACCAACACACACATACACCTCACTCTCCAGCGATGATATTGGCTGCATATTTGATGCCGAGGCTGCTATCGACAATACACTACACTGTACGCCGTACACTATCATCTGCATTATTTTGCTTGGCACACATCCTCGCGTTCAGTTTCACCCTCCTTTCATTATTGTGTTTTCCTGTTCGTACCGGTTCCTCTCTTTCTGGCTGGGCTGGCTGCGTCGTCAAACGTCCAGCACATGTAATGGGATACGATCCGACACGACGCATCACTACGCATGAGTATGTAAAAGTGTGTGAAGTTTCGCGATCCTTATCCAGCCCACTTTCTTGGTTGAATATACATGCCAAGTCAGCTGGGTGGGGAAGGCGGAAGACCTGACACGGATACGAGGCACCCCCCTCCCACCTTTCTTCTCCCGTTCCGTTCCCGGAATGAACAGAAACACCATCTGAAGGGGCATTGGGAAGATTAAGGAGAGATGGAGGCCACAACGCCCAGCGAGACAAGACAGATGCGCCAAGGGTTTTCTTTTTTTTTCTTTTTCTTTTTTTTCTTTTCTTTTTGCCGCAAAACAGATCAATGATCGTCACATCTAACTAACTAACTAACTAACTAACTAACATTCACGACCTGAAAGGCGCCAAGGCTGATTGTTGGTTAAGAGGAGGAGTTTGTCGTTGTCGTTGTCGTTGTTGTATGTGTGCGTGTGCGTGTGCGTGTGTGGCGGAGGTGAAGCCTTCCTCTTGGCATTCCGTCCGGGACCGCCGTAGAGGCTAATTACGGTACGCACCCCGCCGTTTCAATAATCAATCAGTCGTGCCAAGCTTGGCCTTGCCCCGATATACCCTGTCCCCGATTCTTAAGATGACTATGCATCACCCCAATCTCTTGCTTCCGGTTTCTTTCTTTCTTTTTTGCGCCAAGTGAACGAACGACTTCTGCCTTGGTGTCGGGACTGGCGGCTCTTTATACTCGCCAAGCACTGGGACGCGCATTGCGGGTACCTAACTACTAAGTTTATCGCCAACGTAATGGGTTACGAATCAATAACTAGTCGTCACCTGGCGCAGAAGCGTTTGCTGGCTGCCCTTTTGGGCGGAGTTTCATGGGCAGAGCGGATGTTGGATGATGGGACGACGCATGCTGTCTTCATCGAACCGCTTGCGTAAGCACATAACTCATTAACCAGTTAGTTAACTAACTAACTACGTATCATCAATTATTCAGTAGAAAAAATAACTAGTTAACTATGCTTCCATAACCCCATTCGGTTGCTTTTGCCAAGATGAGGTACGACTTGCGTAGCACAACATGTTTTTGATGATCTGTTTTTTGATAAGGAGGCAGATCTCAGCTTGAGAACTTCGAGAGAGTTTTTTTTTTTTTTTTTTTTTTTTTTTTTTTTTTTTAAAAAAAAAAAAAAAAAAAAAAAAAAAAAAAAAAAAACTCTTTTCAGACGGTCTAGAATGAGACAGATCAAACATTTGAGCCTTTCTTGGCTCCTCCTTCGAACGGGGAGATCCAGAGAGAATTTTCTTGAAAAGATTATTTACTACTGTTTAGTTACAGGTATTATATTCCTTTTGCCCCCCTCTCCGTGTTCTTTTTTGCAACAAAAGAAAAAGAAAAAAGAAAAGAAAAGAGAAGAGAAGAGAAGAAAAGGATGACGATACACCGCCTGGTATTTTATCCCGCTGGCCGATCCAGCATTTTGTTACCCCGACGGAACTTCCTGGCGGGGTCCACTGTTCTCCTTCAAACGATCTAACATATATATGTTCTTGTCCGTGTATACGTTAAATAGCAAGCTTGAAACCTACATCATAAGCACGGCAACTAAATGCTGTGATGTTGGGCCAATGGATGAGAAGAAGGTAACTGGGTGCTGGAACCTCGGGGGACGTCTATAGAAAATGCAGCATCCCGTTGCCGAAAAGCACATGCCAAGTGTCATACTTAATAACTACACATAGGTTACACATGGGAATTCAAAAGGAAAAAGTTGAAGAAACATAGGGTATGCAGTATAGGAAGGGTGGACAGGGGCCTTCATGGAATTTGGATTAGGATGTTGGGCAATCAGAAGGATGGCATCTCTACCAAAATACTTCTATTTCCTCTGAAAACTCTTGCAGACGAGTTCCCTGTGCAGTGGAGAAAGGAGACAAGCATTACATCAGCTAATAGAATATATATATGCACCAGTTGACTATCCAGGGGAGATTACGGAATTCAGGACTGGTGGATGGATGTATAAATGTATATATGTAATGTTATGTGTAGAAACATTTGACCATTCTCTTAGATCGAGGGCAGACAGAAGACCCATATCTAAAAGAGTCTCACACCGAATAATGCCCTGACCCTTTTTGAGGTCGCTCCGTGAATATACCAGCTTGTAATGACCGAGGATTTTAAGGTAAAACAACGGACACAGTGTCGAAACGGAGGGGGGAGGTTTGTCTGGATGCTGGACTCTGTACTCTCTGTTCTCTGAAGGGCGTACGGCAGGTCAAGAGCTTCCCAGCTTCCCAGCTTCCCAGCTCCCCAGCTCCCCATCAGTCCCCCCCCCCCCCCCCCTCGCACAGCCACAGCATAACCCCTCAGTCGCAACGAAGTAGCTGTCTGACTGGCATGCGGCAGATGCAAAATCCTGGCCAACGTGAAGAGCCAAGCAAGATTGGAAAAACCGACAGCCAAACAGCCCATCGATCATCCAGTACCACCCCCACCCCCCCCTCCTCCTCCTCCTCCGCTAGAGAATGTCCGCGGAGGCGGCCATTGGCAGATGATGGATGAGACGATTTTTGCAGAGGCAACCACGGAGCAACTAAATAGGCAATGTTAATAATTAACCTAGTCCTGTGGCAGCCGGGACAGCCGGGAGAGCGGACAGCAAACAGCAAACAGCGGACGGCGGACGGCGGACGGCGGACGGCGCGACTCAGCGAGAGAGTAAACATCGCACAGCCAAGCAAAAGCCGGCCGAGCCCCCAATCTGGGTTGCAGCCGTCCGCAAAACCGATCAAAAACGCCAAGCAGCGGATATTGGAATATCGCCAAGCACTGCCAAGCACTGCCAAGCCCCAAGCCACGTCAATCATACACGCCAAGAGCCCGGAGCGGTAGTTTATGCATTTCACGTTTGCCCAAGGCCCCCTCCCTGATGTTCCTTCCCCCGAGGCAAATGGATAATTGATGGCTGCCATCTGCCCCGCTGCCCAATGCCCAGGAAGGCGTCTTTGCCCTCGGCTGCATGTTTGGGTCTGTCGCTTCCCTTCGCTAGTGGTTCATCTGTAATTATTGTATATTAAGCAAGGGTCAGTTTTGAAATGTTCGACCGCCGTATTTTACGGTGTAGTCATCTTGGTCACGACAGAACTGCAGTTGCCATACCCGTAAGTGCAAAAAAATTATCTGTATTGGTGAAATTTGAAAGAGGCTGTGTCCAACGTCTGCTCATCAGGAGACTTGTATTTTGTTCCTTGGTAATTTTGATCATGGAGCATCAGCTGCCTGGGTTTGGCCCCAGCCTTGCCTTGAGTAATTCTGCACGTATCCCCATGTGAACTTCAGCGGTAATAATAATAATAATAATAATAATAATAATAAAAGTATCTGGTAAGGGATTCACGGTAATATAAATTTTCTCAAAATGCTAAAAGGCAGTCTCGACCTGTAGCCTCAAGTTATGTCTGTTCTGTCATATATGTATTAAAAGAAACAAATACCATGTGAGACTGCATTGGGTTTTTGCCCATACTGCCGGTAACGAGTATTTATTGTTTCCGCTGGAGAGCACACTCAAGCATCCATTCTGCCCCCCCCCAAGCATCCCATGTACAAAAAGGGTCAGGAAGAAAAATGAAATCCAAAATTCCGTGGTCGCGACGGCGACTGCGGTTGCGGTTGCGGTTGCGCGAAAACAGTTACCCAACACCACATTTACCGCAATCAGGCAAATATAAAAAGAGCTTTGGTGCCAGACATATGCATAAGAAATTTTCTGCATTTCCAAAGGCTCCCTTTTCGCCCGCAGCAAACTCGGGATCAGGACCATACGGATAGCCTCGAGAGAGTGGCTGGCTCAGTTCCTTGGGGAGGAGAAGTCGCAATGCGCGGGACTGTAGAATCGCAGCCTTAGTCCTATTGGAATTTGCAAGGGGAGAACACATACACATTGTTTATAGAATTCTTTGATCATTTCCGTATCCCCCCCGTCCGCCATGTTTCCCATGGTTTCCATCCAATGAAAATGGTTCATTCGACAGACATACCGTATATAACTTTAGAACCGTCGACTTAAGCCATCAACACCTCAATCGGGTTTCGCAAACCCTTTAAGCTATTGGCACAGGTGACATGAGGTAAGCGTCTAAAAACAGCCTCCTTTTCAGTCCTCTGCATGAACTCCTGCCATTCTTTCGTCTGAACCCACTCTCTCCACGCTTGCTTGCTCTTGAAGTTCACAAGCAGCAGAGTGTCATGCATGGCTTCGCGAGATGTTCCCCGGGGACGGCCGGGCGGCGCCATCTCAACGGGGATAGTCTCGAATTTGGTGATCAGTGGACTCAACTGTGCATGGTGCTGAACCTTTGATAAGAGGTTATCAAGTTGATGGACCTTGCGTGGCTCAGTGTGGGTGCTGGACGCTGGGTTCACGCCGGGCGGGGGGATCGCGGCTTGAATGTTGCGAGACATTTGCGATGCGAAGAAGTATATCACACAGACAAGCGGCTTTTCGCTGGGTTTCGGATTCGCCACTGTTCCTGCATGTTCACCGTCTCCGCTGTTGTTGTTCGCCAGGCCACGTCTAAACAGCATGACGGAGGTTATGCGCCAAATATTTTTGGAAGATAATGGGCTTCAGCTGGACAGGAAATGGCAATTGGTAATAAATGGGTTTGGAATGGGATACAATAAAAGGAGACAGGTTTTGAGCAAAAGTTGGCTGTTGCTTTAGTTCTGAACGATAGCCTTTCCCCGCATTTTCGATGGTGTGCTCAGAGTCGTGCCCGCATTTGATATGGTTTCGGCTGGCGTAACCTTAAGGAGCAACAACCGGACAGTGGCCATGGCATGAGAGGATTCTGCCCGAGAGTTGAGCGAAGTTGGGCGCTCCCAGAAGTAAAATAAAATCAATGTGGTGATTGCTAGCAATAAGCCGCCCTTGTGTGTTGGACTTTTTACGGAAATGACTATCCCTACGGACGGAGTCATTCATTGACCCAACATTTTAACTCTCAATCAAAAACGCTCCAGAGGCAAGAATCAAAAATGTTAAAAATCTTGAATGCCCGTTTCACCCTTCAACTCCTCCTTTCGATCCCCTTCTTCATCCTTTTCAAGGATGAATTCCGGTTCCTCTTCATCGAAATAGCGCTCCTGCGCCTCGTTCCAGTCGTCATATTCCTCATTCTCATCAACGACGCTGTAATCAAACTCGTGGTCTGCACCCCTCAAAAATCGTAGCTCCATCTCCCAGCGCCAGCGTTCCGCGCCCTCTTCTTTGTTTTCTGGGATCTCATCTTGGTCCTCCGCTAGAATCTCACCGTTGGGCCCGCGGGCATATGTTATGGTCGCATTCGGGTCAGGATGCGCCAGCGCTTCCATCTTAGCTTCTGATCGCATCAGATCGGCTTCGAGGACGCCGGAGTATCCCTTAGCACGCCCTTCCTCCTCTCTCTCGGTCGCAGTCTGGAATCGTCTGATGAGGCGGTCGTAGAGGAGAGGGTCTATTTCACATCACTGTTAGCAGGGAAAGTCAAGAGAACGGCAGACCAAGCTAACCGGCTAGTTCCAAAGCTGAAGAGAAGTAATCAGGATGCGTATCGAGATATCTTTTGCGGCGGTTTTTGATCTGAACCGAGGGAGGGGGGTGGAGTTGCGAGGTCTGCTGAGGCTGGTTTTCTGCCCGCTTGTTGTGGTTGTTGGATGGCATGTAAGAGCCCGTGTTCATGGGAAACAAAGGCATTGTGTTCTGGACATTCCGAATCCATTTCTTGTAAGGTTTGCTACAGAGGTCTGAGGAGACCGCGACCTGCAAGCATTTTGCAGAAACAGCTGAGACCGTAGTGATCAGTTTGTGGCGGGCAAGTTTTTGGCTCAAACCGCGGAGTTTGGGAGGAACAGGCCGCACGTGACCTTACGGGGGTTAACTGGAATCGATCTATGGTCTCGTGCGGCCGAACCTAATTAGAAAGAAAAACAAGCAGGAATATATCCTTCATGATGAATGAATTCTAGAAGAAAGAGATATATATGGAGCAGAATTTGCAGGATGAGAGGGCGCGTTCCTTAACCAAACACCAATATCCACAGAAGCTGTGATGGAGTAATATCAAGTCGATCAACCCGGAATATAGGGATGTGATTTACTACCGGTGAACTTTTTCAGCGTCAACGTCTTACTGTATTTCCATCAGCTTATCATCATTGCGGCACGTCTTTGACGACTCGGCAAAATTTACAGCTACAAACCGGATAACAAAACCCTCCAGGAAAATCCGAGAGTTTCTCTCACAAGGTTGAGCTCTTTTGCTTCCTGCATTTAAATGCCCCAGTTTCTTTCAAATAGCTTTTTTCGAGTCCCAAATTCACGAAGGATATTTTTATAGCTATGTATGTGAAACAGCAAATCAGTTCTTTGGATATCTAGGCAGAGTCTGATTATATGAACTTGCTGTGATATTAGGATATTGCCTTGGAACTTGGTGTCTCTGAACACCTCCCACTGTATTTCGCCCGACATTGCCCCTACAGAGAAGGGGATTTGGGATTCAGAGCTTAACATTTAGTAAAGAGAAGGTAAAAGCAACTTGTATAGGCATGTTTGAGAGAGTCGAATGAAAAACTGAGGTATTTACTCCTAGAAGTGCGTGCACTGTTATTCCATTCCAGTGTAGTTAGTTACCAGAGTTCGACGTTGCTTCAACCGAGTTAAATATCTCCTCGCTAACTTGCCCGACAACGGAGAAATCAGTTGAATTGCTACGGCTCGCGACGTCAGATCTTTACTTATGCGCCCTCTAACAGACCCCTCCCATGCTAATATTGGAAGTCGATATTCTTTATTACAACACCGTGCTCTCTAGTCCTCATTTTACTTTTGCCTCCATTTTGGTCCGGTTATGGGGCTGAACAAGGCGGAAACCATTTCGATAAAACGCGCTGGCGCGTAAATTCGCCATTAACTTGTCAAGAACAGGTCATTTCAGCAAACAAGACTTAATTCCTACTGTTCAATTTATCCAATTTAAATATTGCTTTTTGGTATTTGTTTGCTCTAGAGTACTCGTCGTCATGCCACCGGCAAAGACACCCTCTAAGGGCAGAAGGCCTGCCCGGAGCAAACCGGATAGAGCTGAATCTGCAGCAGTCCCGCCTGGAAATGAAGACGCCTCCTCAACGGACACTATCAAATCAGTTGCCCTTGCTGCATTCCTCCTGGTGGTTACAGCCGCCTATTCGCCAATATCGCAATTGACGCTCTCGCCAGTTTATGGATCTGTCCCTTCAGCAGCCTTCCACCGCAGAGGGATGATGGTGACTGCGCTCTGTGGATGGTTCGGCAAAGACCAAATCAGAAAGACATTCTCTGCGAAGATTAAGAACTTTTTGCCGGTGTTGGCATTTAGTATCCAGACTATCCAGTTCTTCCTGTTTAGGTGGAGTTCGCAATTGGGACCTGTATATGGCCCACTCCTGACAGAGGCTCTCACCTATTTCCCTTTAGTTCTCTTGTCCGTGTCTTCAGCAGCTACTCTGCTTGACGACGCTGATTTGAGGCGATACGGGGAATCTTTGGGGAATCATGGTCCTTTTTTCGGTTCATATATACTCTTCAGCACTCTCGAGAAATATATCGGGTTTTTGTTGCCTAGGTATATAGGGAGATCCGCTGTGATGGCACGTATCCCTCTTCAACTTATGGCCGCTTCACTTTACGCAATATCTTTTCCATCAAAATGGCTAGTGCTTGCGTTGCCGTCGCTGCTATTTTCTTCTCGGTATAACGTGCATTTCCCCCTCGAACACACAACCGCGCTTTTAAACTCAACATTACAGACTGAAAATTTCATCCTGCTGCACCGAGAGGAGTCCCTGACGGGATATCTGTCGGTCGTGGAAAATGTAAAGGAGCGCTATAGAGTGTTGAGATGCGACCATAGTCTCCTGGGTGGAGAATGGACGCAGATGCCCAACACACAACATCCGGAAGTAAGGGAACCTATCTATGCAATTTTCACGATGTTGGAAGCGGTTAGATTGATTAATACCGACGACGGAAGCCCAAGGAAGGGGGGGCCCGGCACCAATTCTCTTGTTATGTAACTGAACCTGCTCCTCCTGTTTCTTCTGCTAGCGGTAGCTTTTGCTAATTTCAAACATAGCGGTCTCGGAATTGGTACCACGCCCACTGCCCTCGTAAACCACGGCATCGATACCACAGTCATTGAGATAGATCCTGCAGTGTACCGCCTTGCTGCAGATTACTTCAGTCTCCCAGGAAACCTTACAACAGTTATCAAGGACGCTGTTGGCTATGTAGCTGAAGCGAACCGGGCGACTCCAGTACCCAGCTTCGATTATATTGTGCATGACGTCTTTACTGGCGGGGTGGAGCCAGTTAGTTTATTTACGGTGGAGTTTATGAAAGGCCTTCGTTCCCTGCTCAAGGAAGGCGGGGTTATTGCGATTGTTAGTTTTCCCTTTTTCCCCGCTTCCTTTCTGTTGTTGTTGTTGTTGTTGTTTTACTTTTACGTAATTTTTCTAACACAGGAGGTATCTGAATTTAGAATTATGCTGGAGATTTGTCTCTCCCTTCCTCAGGCCTTATTGTTCGAACAATCATGTCTGTTTTCCCGAATTGTAGGATATTCCGTGAAGGGGAGCCACCCGCGAATGCCAGCACAGGCGATTTTACCAACATGGTTATCTTCTGCAAACTGACGAGTTCGCCCTTGGTGTTTCGAAACCCCACCGAAGCCGACTTCCTCGGCAGCAAGTCCAGGGAAATGTACATGATGCCTAAATTTGAAATTGATGTCGCGACTTTTGAAAAAGTAGAGGATGGTGGACAAGATATCATGGCAGAAGGACACGTGGGTGACATACTACGTTGGCACTCACGGAGCGCTGCTGGCCATTGGGGCATTATGCGAAAAGTTCTCTCTGCTGTTGTTTGGGAGAACTGGTGATTTGCAACTGTGTTGTAGGGATGAGAAATGTGCACGATGACGCGGGGTGCCGGATGCGCTACTGCTAATCTCAGTTTATGATCTATATTGGTATCCTATGGTTCTCGGACATAAATACAGAAAAATGAAAGAAGCAAAAGAGGCCATCAAGAAAATGCAAGCCCAGGATCACAACCTCATTTCAGCTAATCATTACCCCCCAAAAAGCCTCCCTCATCACAAAATTGCTTTCTCAGAAATGACCAAATTTTTCCTTATCAACCTGATATCTTGGTCACTGAATCCCATCTCCGTCTTCAAATATCCCTCAGCCCCGTTATACCTCTTATCAATCCAATCTAATGTCGCCATCATCGCGGCCGCCTTTGCTGCAACCATTCTCTCAGCGCTACCTCTATCCCCACCAAATGCGGGATGCACCAGCAGCCTGTCGATAAAGTACTGTCTCAACTCACCCAACCCAGCCTCAGTGAGTTCATACTCACGTCCAATAACTTCATCAGAAACTCCCGCAATCCGCAAAATCAGCGCTCCGCACACGCCAGTCCTGTCCTTTCCGGCCGAACAATGGAAGAGCAGAGGCTCCTCAGATCTGTCGCGGATGTGTTCGAATACAGCACGAAACGCGCTTGCCGACCCCGCTCTTAATATCTCCGCATATGCGCGCATGAAACCCTGGGGCCCGTCAGAGGAGGCATAATCCTTGTAGCGCAGTGCAAGGCTTTCGGGGCTGGCATCCTGATCCCTGAACACGGGAACATGGTGGCGGGTTGTTCCGGCGATCTCGACGGAGGGGGAACGCTCTGACTCGGTAATGGAACGGAAGTCGTAGATAGTGGTTATACCCAGTTTGTCGGCGAGGAAAGTTGCGCCTTCAGGCGTGGTATCGGAGAGTGTGGCGCAACGGAAGAGGTAATTGCGTCGTACGGAGGAAGTGGGTGAAATTGCGTAGCCGCCCAGGTCGCGGAGGTTGGCGATGCCATCCGCGAAGTAGAAGGGAGGGGATGGGAGGCTGGACATGACGCTCTCCTGCTCCATTTTTATGTCACTCTCTGCCTGGAGCTTCGTTTTCCCGGTTGGGTTTGGCCGAGTGGTTGGTTGATGGCGCCGTATATCTTTCGAGTATCTACAAATATATTATTTTCTTCTTGCCAGACTCTAAAACATTTATGTGTGTGCTCTTGTTATGTAAATAACAGCCTTTAAAATATCATAATCATGACTTAAATAAGGATTCATATTTCCTGAGCGTTGCTAGCAAAGTACCCCACTGCATAACTTTTGCCGAGGCCTAAATTTCCAGCACATTCAACCCATCCAATTTTTAAAGATTTCAGGAACGATCATAGCAAAGAAGGGGGACATTGCACCTTTTAATGAACTGCTGAAAAAAATGCTTTCCTGTACTTGGGCAAGTAATTGAGAAGATGACATGGAGCACTTATTGCGGTGGTTATGCTCAATGTTGGGTGAAGGGTAGATTTCCACGGCTCGTTAGAGTTAAGATTTGTGCATCAGGGAGGGAGTGGTCATAAAAAAGGGGTTGAGATTGTTGCATCGAATATACGAGATGAAGATTGGGTACGCCTACGACTTAGGCGCTGCTAGAAAAGGAGATGATATTCCCTTGAGTTGCGATGCTCACTCTTTTTTTTTTCTCTTTTTTTTTTTTTTTTGCACGACAGAGATGCGGAGCTTCGCAAGGGTCCCTATCAGCTCGATGTGGCTTCACCTAATCCAGTCTGCCTCCATCAAGTTCGTGGTGTAATTATATGGAACCTCTCGTGAGAAGTGAGGCAGTTTCATGATTTTCAAATTTCAAGAGCTACTAAAATCCGGCACTGTGAGCACTCGTCTTTTGCAACTGTCCAGTTTTTTGTGTAGGGTTAGGAAAGCTCGGAAGTCATGGTTGGATGCAAGAGAGAAAAAGATGACAAGCAAACAAGGTCGTGCAATACTTCAACATTATCACCATCCTTGATAGCGGCCTCCAAAGATCTCCTTCAGAACAAAATCCTAAGGAGGAACAACATACTAGTGGAACAGAAAGGATTCTTGTTTCAAACCACGCTTGTCCCTGCACACCAAAGAATCGACTGTTGGAATCCTAGTTCTCATCTCACGATTCCGAATTTTTTATTTTTTATTTTTTATTTTTTATTTTTATTTTTTATTTTTATTTTTTTGCAGCATCCCATTTCCCTCATATGAAATGGATAGCGGAGCAACTGATGGAAAGGAGGTTTATAGAAGAAGAGAAGCGTTAGGAGGAGGAGAGGAGCAAGCAGAGACGCTCGCACGTGATATCGAGACTCCCAACCCCCCCGTTCGATTCCCCGTTAGACTTCTGCCCACTGGGCTTCAAGGAATCTCTTCGTGGAGTTGAGGCAAAGAAAATGACGAAATAATTCCAAAGTTTACCAAGACTCCAGTTCTTGGGCTTGACCCTGTTCCTTGCGCTTCAACTTCAATCCAGGATTGCTAAATAATCGGGGGTCATTGCATCGTCCCTCCACGAGCAACGAACGTCAAGCATTCCGGGTATTGCCAGGACTGATAGAAAAGCCTGCAACCCAATTGCTGATTGTTTCATGCTCCGTCATCGCGCATTGACAACACAGCCTGCCGGCATAGGACCAAACTGGCGAGTCCTTTAGCGGTTCTCTTTTAGAGTTCAAAAGACGCGGGGAAGAACTAGAAACCGTCTAGCCACAGTTGAGCCACGGTGAGCTCCTGGAACATCCTTGAAATTGTAAAGTATCATCGGTTGCGTCGGTGAGGATGCATCCGCTTTTTTAACTGCCGAGCTCAGTGCGTATCCAAAATAACAAATCCTCCAAGACGGTTTATATGGGCCTAGATAAATGAGGGGGGCTGGTAGGGACTAAAAGAGTTGCCCTGGAGTGTGACAGCCTATCAATAAGGGCTCGACTGTCAGGGACTGATGCAAGATTGCCCACTTTGGAAGGTCAGTTTCCCCTTCGCGCAAATCTCGGGTTGCTCAGCACATGAATCTGTTGTGAAACCAGCCATTGCGTTGACGGGGATTCTTGAACAAACACATATTTTTCCAACTTAACCCGGCTCACACTAGGACTTACTAGGGTCATATTGTTCCGTGGATCGTGGGCTTTCAGTAACGCCACATCCTCGTCGTTCAAAGGCTGACGCATTAGTTATTGGTGGGAGAAGACCTGCAGAATTTTGTCCAAATGGAGCCCGGCAGTGAGGCCTCCTTGAACGTTCAGAATCCGGAGTAACCTTCTTTTGCTTTGATATATTGCATAATAATGTTGCCACAGGCACGACGGCGAGCAGTAGTATTAAGAAACAAACCAACCAACTTGAGGGAGCAAGTGCGGGTTTAGCTGCTGCAACGTCAAACACACGCTCTGTTCGCTCGTTGAGCCGTTGCAGAAAATGCAGATCCTTCAATCTAGCCTACCAGCAAGGGGCAAAACCTGACAAAAGGACTGAGATCAATGTCACCTCATCCCTATCCCACTCGTGTTTCTCAGCGTTATGCATAATTGCGATAGCAATCCCATTGGTCCACGCCTATCACAGGGCAGGTCGACGGTGACCGTGCAGCTGTGGCAAGAGAATCTTCCCAGCCGTAACTACCTAGGTAGCCCTCCCTCCCGTATCTTCCCTGTAAGTGTGTTGCCTGCTGTTGAGGTGCGAGTGCGGTTGCGGGCGGGAAATGCAGAATAATAATGGAGAATCCGCATTCGTGCGGCTTCCTCCAGCTTGGGTACAGCCTTCCCCAGTTCAGGACAACAGCATGATCAAAGGCTCCAGGAAGCTTGTCCTCTAAAAAGGAGATCCTCGGGAGATCCCACCCCAGAGAGGGGAAGCCCTTAGTCGGTCAGAAAACCGGGGACTGCTAGTTATTACGATAGGCTCTGTCTGATGCGATCCCTGACTTTTTCTCTAATAGTTTCTCGAGCTCCGCAAGCCCCTCGCCGTTGGCATAAATATACAGCCTATGCCGCGGGAAAACTGTTCACAGTTCTCGATGCGTTTGGAACGCATCCTGATACATTGAGCTTATTCTCGACTGGGTGCCAAACCCTAATTGAGTGAAACCACGCCCATCATGGCTATTCTAACATGGCTGTCCGCAGCGGCGGCGCTGATGTCACAGGTTGTCGCGATGACACCTGAGTAAGCTTCTCTTGCTTTTACGCTTATATTCTTATCGATCTAATAGTAGTACTTTCAAGAAGAGTCGCACTTACGAATAGGGGTCTATAGGCAAATGATTTCAGCTCCTCGAAGAAGCGAAGCCGTCCCAAATCCATCGGGAGTAAGTTGTTATTCATCTCTATTTTTAAGTTGACTTAATATAATTACAACTGACCTTGTCTGACTCCGACTGGTAGAAATTTGCCTTTTTCTCTCTCTCCCAATATTCATTCGAAGTGCACAAGACGGTCAAAACTGAATGGAATTTGCTTGATTTAGAGTCAGGACAGACCAGTCTTCTCACCAACGATCCCGATGTGTCGGAAATCATTTGGCTGGGAGAAAAGGATACCAGCGTTCTCTACATTAATGGTAGTACTAATTCAGAGGTTGCAGGTGGTGTTGAGTTGTGGGCTTCTGATGTCACAAATTTTGGAAAGGGAAGGTAGGTTCTCTCCACAGGTCACTGGTAATTATTCAACTGCTCACAGTTGTCATGTAGCAGCCATAAAGTCGCCTCATTCGGCGGCCGATTACAAGGCCTCAAGGCTGTTATAACAAAACATGGTGATATCAACTTTCTGCTCTATGGTCAATCGACAAGTGACGGCAAGCTCTACAATCCAACCTTGGCGCCGAAGCAACTCAGCTCTGCTCGTATTTATGACAGTCTCTGGCCTCGTCACTGGGACACTTGGCTGACCACAGAATTCAATGCTGTTTTCTCTGGCTCCTTGAAGAAAGGATACGGCGGGAAATACACTTTCGACGGGAAACTCAAGAATCTTGTTGCTCCCGTAAAATATGCCGAATCTCCCTACCCACCTTTTGGAGTCTCATCCGACTATGACCTTTCTCCAGACGGCAAGACTGTTGCCTTCATGACCAAGGCCCCTGAGCTGCCCAAGGCCAACTACACTACTAGCTACATCTACGTTGTTCCTCACGATGGTGCTTCGACTGCTGTTCCCATCAACGGTCCTGATAGTTCCGTCGCTGCTGACGGCATCGTGGGTGCTTCATCCAATCCTGTATTCTCCCCGGATAGCAAAAAACTGGCATATTTCCAAATGGAGGAATACAACTATGAATCTGACCGTCGGGTTATTTACGTTGCCACCTTGAGCAATAAAAAGATTGTCAGCATCGCCAGTAACTGGGATAGATCGCCGGAATCCATCAAATGGACACCTGATGGAGCCAACTTTTATATTTTGTCTGAAGATCGCGCTCGTAGCAGACTATTCACCCTGCCTGTCAACGCACGTGCAGACTACGTACCCAAAAACTTCACGGACAACGGTATGGTAAGCGCGTTTCACTTCCTCAATAACTCGCCATCCGTTCTTACCACTACCTCCACCCTCTGGTCAAATTCCATCTATGCAATTGTCGCTCCTGATGAGAAACCAAAAGTCCTCTTCTCCGCCAACGAACACGACCCGGAATTGGCGGGATTAGGCCCTGAGGATATTGACGAATTTTACTATGAGGGTTCCTGGACCAAGGTTTGAATCCTTTCCCTCGGCTTGCTAATCATCTGCTAATTGAGGTTAAAGGTCCAAGCCTGGATTGTGAAGCCGGAAGGTTTCAACATCAAAAAGAAATATCCACTTTCCTTTCTTATCCATGGTGGTCCTCAGGGGGCGTGGGTAGATTCGTGGAGTACTAGATGGAACCCCAAGGTTTTCGCCGATCAAGGCTATGTCGTTGTGGCTGTTAACCCAACTGGCAGCACAGGCTTTGGAGACGAATTCTGTGATAGAATTCAAAACGACTGGGGTAGGAGAAATACCCCTCTTCTGGTGTTGCTGGTGCCCCAACGCGAGACGAATTATACTAACAATTCATCGCTTCATAGGTGGAGCTCCCTACGAGGATCTTGTCAAAGGTTGGGAATATATTCGTGATAATTTTGACTATATTGACACGGATAATGGCGTTGCCCTCGGCGCTAGTTATGGTGGTTTCATGGTCAATTGGATTCAAGGAAAGCCGCTTGGTCGCAAATTCAAAGCGCTTGTCTCCCATGACGGTTCCTTCGTTGCGGAAAACAAGATCTCCACTGAGGAATTATTTTTCATGGAACATGACGTACGTTTGCTTAACCCATTCTTCTTAAAACCTGAACATGTCTAATACCTATCACTACTTCCATCTAACCACGACTAACACTGGGAATAACAGTTCAACGGCACCCTCTGGAACAACCGTAAAAATTACGAACGCTTCGATCCCTCAGCATCAGAGAACATTCTCCAATTCGCCACCCCGCAACTGGTCATCCACAACGAGAATGACTTCCGCCTTGCCATTTCCGAGGGCCTTGCCCTCTTCAACGTGCTCCAAGAACGCGGCGTCGCCAGTCGCTTCCTCAACTTCCCAGATGAGAACCACTGGGTACTCAAACGGGAGAACAGCTTGGTGTGGCATCAGCAAGTCCTTGGTTGGATTAATAAGTACTCCGGTATTGCAGATAGCAACCCTGATGCTGTCAAGCTGAGCGACACTGTTGTGCCTGTGGTGGATATCGATGCTGGGCCTAATATCTAATTCAACCTTGTACCCACATATTTGCCTATGGAAATATGTCAAGCACGGTGTAAGATAGATACCTCTTACATGCTAAGGAGATATATAGATAACCTCGACTCTCTTGTCCGAATTTATTTTGTTTAATGTATATACAATTCCTATTTTTGTTCTTAACCATATTTATCCGATTACGACCTCACTATTAGGTTCAGTTCCTGCCAGGATTATATCTCTTACAGTGTGATTGGTTTACATATGGGAATACCAAATTTACAAGTGAGTACTTTCAATAGAATCGACGACGTCCTTAACTATTGCAAGGGGTATAAGTTATTGGTTATTCGTGAGATATGAAGATGGGGGAAAAAATTGAAAGTAAGAAACAGGAGAACTGGGATGAGAATAAACAAAAGCTAGAAATACATGCTCCTCATCGTTGAGTACTGAAAATGGGTGGGTGTTATCGGCACTTCCTCAAAGGCAACTTGAGCAGTGAGAGTAATATGGAGACGTATCTAGAGCAGAGTCGACATAGACAGTCTGAGGGCCAGTTACCGCCAATATATTTCTTTCAAAACTTAGTTTGAGAGTATCTGGAGGGTCATTGCCAAGCTTAAACAAGCATATAGTATGGTGCTTGATATATGCTCCCATTGCCCCATAAATAGGCTTGAATTGTCTTGTACCGTTGCTGTTTATAAACAGAAAAGGAGAAAAGGAAAACTCAAAGATTAGCTAAATAAGAACCAATTATTGAAATGTAAACCCATCAGTTATGAGGACGGGCCTGGACGGGGACTTGTTGTCGACTTCTTGTTGACAAGACCAGCAAAGAAGTTCGCAAGGGCCTGGTTCTGCATCTTGTCGTCGCCTGTTCCACTTCCTGGGGAAATGGTGGGGGTTTGGGACAAGGCATCTTTGCGTGCTGGGGTTCGGTTAGCTTCTCGTTCCTGTGATACTAGTTAGTGGAGTCTTAGGCAAATCAACAGGCTCGCAGGATGACTGAGCATGTGAACAAAGGATAAATGGACAATGGACAGGGACAAGGAATGGAGCAAGCTGCCAAAAAAAAAATTAAAAAAAAAAAAAGGAAAAACACCAATCGCAACATTCTCTTCTTTACCTTTAACTTTCTTAACACATCATCCGCGTCTACCTGAATGCCTCCCATATTGAACTGAACATGCCCAATATGCTCATTAACATGAGACAGCTCATCCAGTGGGATATTATTCTCGTGATCTTTGAGCAAGTTTCCCTTGCGCAGTTGCTTATCGCGCTGCTCATCCTCAGCTTTGAGCTTTTCGAGGACCTCGAGCTGGTCAGCTAAAAATGATTGCATATCCCTTGTTTCCACTTCAATCGCCGTGTCTCCACCAATCTGCGTATTCCGCGTCACGGAGATGTCCCGCTTAGGGTCCCGGATGGTTTGTTCGTAAATAAGCGTGGCACTACTGCCGCCTTCCATCACATCTTCCTCTGGCTTGTGGTTACTGTTTCCCTCATCTGGATTGCCATCGGTCTCAGATATTCCGCGGAATTGTTTTGGTTTATCTTGGATCTCCATAGACCAACTTGTTCCAACCCCTTCTATATCAAATCCCTCTCTTATTATTCGGATTTTGCCCCAGGAATCCCAGTTTGAAGGGACTAATATCTTATCTCTGTCTATGACATTATGCTTTAGAGACTGTTTCTTGAGTAATGAGTGGATTCCCAGCGAAGTGTGGATTAGACTCTGTAACGAGTTGGCCAAGAATGGAGTCGTGTAAATGAGTGAAGCACCGTCTGGAAGGAAGCATCAGCATAAGGAGCGTAGTGAGAGTCCAAAATACCACGTACGTTTCAGCAAGATAGTTCTCATGAATTGTAGTATAAAATCAAATTCCTCTTCATGCCAGCCATGCTCTTTCTCCAGTTTTTCGATTTTCTCCGCCTAACATCGAGACGATAGAGTTAGCAAGGACATATAATCCTGAATTGGCTAATGAGGGATTTCACGTACTCTTTGGCAGACCACACACATGGGGATCCCTAAACCTTCATCCCATTCCCCCGGGCCAAGGGGTATTGTAACCGGTCCCCCAGAGTTTGTCATCCCCGTACCCGCTGAGGATGCCGGATCGCCCCCTCTCTTATGGTCTCGCCATTCCGTCATAACTTCTTCCATAACCACCTTAGTTTCGTCATCAAGTGATACCAGAACAGATCGCAATAGTCGAACCCATTCTCGGAGCTGTCGAACCCACGTCCAAGGATTTTCCCAGTCCAACAGGATTACTATCAGCGTCTCTGGTACAGTTTTCGGAGTGAGGAGCGGTTTGAGAAGTGGTGCAAAGGTCGAAGAGGGTTCAGAGAGGAGATAGATCGAAACTCGGGCGAGAATGTCTATGACCAAGGGTTAGTAAAGTATCCTATCAAATTGGGAAAGGAAAGACACGGATTGAGCCCTAAAAATACCTTCTTGGTCGGCATCTAACACATCCTGATACGTATAGCCGACCGCAAACTGATTTGTAATTAGAGGTGCTCTCCCTTTCCGCCGCTCAGATGGCACCCTAGGATCGGATTCGTCTGATGATAACGTCTCCAAAAACTCTCTCTGGCAATCGGGCGTACCTCCTAATGTTCAAACAGAGTCAGAAAAATAAAGAAACCGTTGGTAGAGTATATACTTATCGATATCCATTGATCCAATCACGGCTGATATATTTCGGATACCTAAACAACGAACCAACAGTAGGGGACGGGGGAGAGAATACGAACCCAGAACCAGGAGATTCTTTTCCGGCAATCGCTTCCCGCTTGCTGCTCCATCCAGCATGGAAGACCATATGTTCTTCTTCACGCCATCTTTGCTTGTTGGCCGACTCCCCTGGCTCTGGAAAGATGACCGTTGTCCAACTCCCACCATATTGCCCTCACCATGCCACCACTGCACAGACACGAAAGACAAGCAGAGAAGATAGAAATCTGCTACACTCTAAAAAGCCATAAAAAGCTGTGTTGGATCGAAAAACTATAAACTGTGAGGCTTTCTCTGACGGAGCCAGAGCGTAAGGAAGAAGAGCTTTTGGGAGACGGCGGAAGCGAATGGTGAAACAGTTAAATAGACCGATGGATTTTCGACGTAGGCATAAATATCCTTCTCTCCTAACTGGGGGAAGATAGCATATGTAGGATGCAAATTCGCAAGTGGTATATATATCACCGTAATGGGTATCTTGTTCCTAGTGCAAATAAATAAACAGTTGAATGTTCAATTCCCCCCTGGTCCAACATTGTTGCTGATGTCACGCGTTTTTGGTTCGCCGCAACTCCCCAACATCTTCAACGCCAAACCACAATTTCAAGTTGACCTCAACCCGATATTTATTGCAACAGTTACAACCCTACTCTGCACAATTATCTACTACGAAGCAGAAAGGCGGAGGTCGCTAGAAGATCGGTTACTGTCTAAATAAATACAGAAAAGCCCTCTTTATTCAATCGCAATGAACGCAATCCGCCAGGTCCAAGCCCTGAACAAAAAGGAGCTTGAGAACGTCGTGTTAGTTATTTATGTGGACACTTTATTCCATCCTTGTATCATTCACATACGAGATTTACCCCAGGCTAACATCAATATATCTTTTTCTTTTTTTTTTAACAAAAACAAGACCTCCAGAAGCTTCCTGGCATGCAGACTACCGCGACACCGCATACATCTACATCGGGTCTCTCCCCTACGACCTCAGCGAAGGTGACATCCTAACCATTTTCTCGCAATACGGCGAACCGGTACATCTCAATCTAGTGCGCGACAAAGAAACGGGAAAGAGCAAAGGGTTCGCATTCTTGAAGTATGAGGACCAACGAAGTACAGATCTGGCCGTGGATAATTTGGGTGGAGCGACGATTTTGGGCAGAATGATACGAGTCGACCACGTGAGGTATAAAAGAAAGGAGGAAGAGGGGCTGGAGGATAATGTGGCCGCTTTGGCGACTGCTGAGACTGGGGAGGAGAAATCGAGAGATGATGACGGTGAAGCGGGAAGGCGAAGAAGGGCTCTGAAGCGCGGTGAAAGTAATACTGACACGGAGGATCGGAGGATACGTCAAAGACCATTATTGAAGGAGGAGGAGGAGCTACAGAAACTTATAGAAGAACATGATGAAGAAGATCCAATGAAGGAATATCTAATACAGGAGAAAAAGGAGGAAGTTGCTAGAGCGTTGAAGCGTTCGAGTCTGCGAAAGAAGCATAGAGAAGATAGTTATGACAAAGGGGAGAAACATCGCCATCCAGTCCACCATCGTCATCACCACCATCACCATCGGAGACGTCGCGAGGATCGGTCGTATTCTCCGGAAAGGGAAAGGCGGTCTTCACGGCGTGAGAGATCCAGGTCTCGATCACTTTCAAAGGATCGAAGACGCCATCGAGACACAAGAGATCGTGATTGATATAATATGATATTTCCTTTTCTGTGATAACCTGCTAGAAGAAGGAATGTCCATTCGCCGCCTGCCGTTGGAGACCCGCAAGACCAGCAAAGAGGCCATTATTTGTTGGAAATAATTGTGTGCCAGTACGGTTACCTCGACAGAAAACCCTCCCCCCTCATTTTTGAAACACATCCATTCGTGCAAGACATCGGGGGGAGGCTATTAATGACACTGGCGCAATTTGATTTAGTCTGTGTTGGAAACGGAGTATCGACATATACATCCATCCCCATGAAGAAAAGGTCTATACAATCATCCAGTTTCCACCAGCATGTGGAACCAGGTCCCACCCAATTTCTTTCCTAAAGGGGGGTTGTGTTGAGGGGACTATGAATAATCGGTTGAAAAATCCAGAAAGGGATATCCATCCACCCTTCAACCACCTCCAAGATACCTCTTCCAGCCCTCTCTCATGCAATACCGCTTCCCGTCATCCCTCTGTCCAATGATGAATCTTTCCCACCTCCCCTCTTTCCCAGCACTTATTACCAAAAGCGTCGTTTCACTAGTCCACCCAATAACCCCCTTGGATGGCCGTCCAAGTGAAGAACCTAGTGGAGGGAGGTATGCGGAACCAAGAGGACCCTCATCGCCAATCTCAAAATGGGCACTCGCAAATGAATAAATGTCAGAAAATACCCGAGGGAGTAGAGGGAGTTTCCCTAGAATGCCCCATTTCTGGTTTGTGTTTTCGCCCGGGGGAGTGGCGCTGCGAGCATACGGGAGGTCAAATATATGCAAGGTGGATTTATCAGAAGTAAGGGCTAGAAGAGAATTCGAGGGAGATATTGCTAGAGAGAATATTTCTGCCTGATCTACGCCTCGTCTGAGCTCGGCCATCTTTGCGCAATTTGTTGTGGCGAATACTCGAATCAGCGTTCCCTGTGCTTTATAATTTAGTTTGCTTTCTTCCCTTTCCTCTCTCTCCCAGACCCTGAATCTGCATCACGGTAACTCTACTCACCGTCTTCCCCGCAGTTGCCAACACCTCACCATTCGGACTGAGTTCAATAGCTCTCAGGGGCGAGCAGTGGGCTGGAATGATACTAACGTTGCCCGACTCGAGTTCGACCAGTTGGACCTGCCCGGGCGATCTACCGGGGAAAGCTAGTAATTTAGAGCCTAGGCAAACCAGGCCGTGGGGGTTATCTGCCGTCTCGAAAACAGATAACTTCTTCGGGGGTGTTGAGAAGGCGAAGATATGTATGCTGTTGTGTAATGCGACGACGATGCGGGTCTTGGAGAGCCGGACGCGCAGGACGGAGGTGCGGAATTCGAGCGTAATGACTGCTCGTTGCTTCGCGTCGTCCCAGATAATCAACTTTGCGGCAATAAGAAAATGGGTTAATATTAAGAGTATTCGCAATTGAGCATATGTCGGAGGTTTCCTACCCCGGTTTCAGGGGGCGGAGCTTTATGTTTGAAACTTTTTCGTTGATAATATGAAAAGGAAAAATGGATTGGAGATACGCACTTTATTCTGAGGGAATTTGGGCTTGCGACCTCCGCCGACCAGAGCTAGGTAGTTGGATTGGCCCAGCATCTCCACCACCCCAATTCCTGCGTTGAAATCTACTTTAGATGGTTGATTCGTCCCAATCAGACGACTGTATGTTAGTAACACAGGTAGATATACACTAAGTAATGCAGGAGACAGGGCAAGAAAAGAAAAGTGCAGTTCCATCCATCTGAGGATCCCGATCTAGCCAGTCGTACAACGCATGATATGCTGATATGTCATATGTATAAATAAATCTCACCTCTTGATACTTTTAGTTCACATGGCTCCGAGTTGAAGACTGTCCAAGCTGTTAGTCCACAGAAATACATAATGATAAAGGCATAACTATATGTAGGAGAATAGGACCCACCACAGAAGCCGGAGTCCAGTCCGACGGCGAAGGAAGAGCAGTCTGAGTTAAAAGCGGCCGAATGTGACACCGGTCCCGTCGAGGTGTCTATCACCTGTCTGGTATTCATTTTTAGAGAGAAGAAGAAGGGAGGCGAGAAGAATGCTATCGACCACTGGCAAAGAGAAGCCGGGCGGTGATCATGGTAGGATATTTTAATCTCCAGATAGAACCGAGGATTGGAACGAGGTGAAATAGTCGAGGGTTAGCTACGCGAAATGCATGTTCCTTTAGTGCGGAGTAGTAAGTAGAAGAATATATAATCGAAGAGTGCAAGAAGATTCGTGAAGGCCGTATTTAGGTTTTATATACTATCACTTCTTATTTGGAGAATATATATATATATATATATCTGCTCGTTATTATATGCGATGATTGACGCAGTTAGCTATTTTTTTTTTAACTTGCTGCAAGTTAACTTTTGGCATGGATAGCTTAACATCACGTGACAGGAATTATGTCATCGCTTGAATCACTACTTAACTAGTTGAACCACTTATCCGCACCGGAAACGCTACAAGCATAATTCAGTCAAACATCTTAATCAATCCTGATCACATCCCTATAAGCTCTCTCCCATCCCCTCAGGCAGCAAGCCTGATGGCGTGCCGACGCAGCGCTGCCAGCGCGCCCAGCCCCCCAACACCACCGAACGCGTCCCGAGCCTTGACGCGCATCTGCTCCCCCATACGCCGTCCACCCAAGAGACCCCATCTCCTCACCCCAATCGCCCGCCGCACATGTGAACTGAATGACATGGAGCCTCCAAGCTCCCCTACACCAGCAGGCAGCTCAAAGAGCAGAAATGTCGCACCAATACGTCTCAACCTACGTGGCCCGATGGCTAGCGATCTCCTAGCCGCCCACGAGGCTGAGGCACAGAAATCCCATGCAGAAGCACTAGCTGCTGCAAATATGCTTGATCGGATTGAAGAAGACCTAGATATCATGAAGGCAAAAGGCCTATCAAGGGCACTGGCCCTTGGAGCCGCCGTGAAGGCGTTAGTCAAGGACTGGTACAATGGAAGTCTAGAAACAGCTAAGCAGTCCACCACAATCAAGCCTGCTGGCTCCACTGGTGCAAATGATGCAAGTGCTCCTACCTATGCAAAGACAGCTGCAGACAGCACCAATGCAACAAAAACACCAGCAACTGTACTGCAGAAACCCCTGCTTAGGAATAACCCCAGAGAAGGAAAAACACCACGAATCCTCGCGCGCCTGCCTTCAGATCATCTAGCTCGCAAAGCAAGCCCAATTGCTACTCTTAGAAAGCTGAAGGCTGAACTCCCGGGGCCTTTGGCAGCAGCCATCACAGCAGTTCAAGCCATCCCCACAGGCATTGCCATCATTCCTAGAAGCTTGCAAGACATGGAGGCCCTGCTAGCCCAAAAGAATGTTTTAGCAGCCACTCTCACCAATGCTCAGATAGAGAAGGAAGAACATTGGATCACCTGCCTGATTCCTGGGCTGCCCATGGAGATTAGTGACTATGATGGTGGAACTCTGCGTCTCTCAGCAGAATCCATGACAGAAGAATTCACACTCCAAACCAGAATCAAGCCTGTCCAGAGTCGCTGGGCAAAAATACACCCTGGAAACCCAACAGCCACCCTTATATTACACTTTTCACAAGAGACAGCAGTAAACCTGCCATCAAAAGTGGAACTATATGGATATCAAAGACCAGTGATCAGAAAGGCACCTAAGGTCAAAATACAACAATGCAGCAAATGCTGGGGATTTCATCAAGAGAGATACTGCCTCCGCGTCCCTCGCTGCAAAAAATGCAGTTCTAAGAACCATGTGAAAGGAAATCCATCCTGTCATAAGGAGAATGAAGCATGTGGATGCCCCAATCGCTGCACTAACTGTCTTGGACCACATGCCGCGGATGATCCATCCTGCCCCGCCAGACCAGGGATAAAGAATGGGACTGTTCAAAGGCACTCAAGAAACCAGCTGAGGGATATCCGCAATGCACAGAGTAAGGCATACTTGGCCAAGGCAAGTAACAGCAAATGCGGTGGTCGAGGTCCATCAGCAGACCTGAGGTTGAATGACTCTACTGAGTGTAGATCTAACCTCACGCTGACATCAAACACAGCACCAAGCACAGCATTGAGCACAGCATCAGGCACAGCATTAGGCATGGTGTCCAACCCAACACCTAATGCAACACCCAACATGTCACCTCATGCAACAACACCCTCCTTTCAGCTACTCAATGAAGAAGAACTCTAGGTCCCCGCAATTCCTGCAGATTATGCAAGTCAACGTAGGAAAAGGGGGCCCAGCACACGAGACGGCCCTCAATCTAGCGTTTGAAAGAAAGACTGACATCCTTCTCATACAGGAACCCTGGATTCACAGGAACTTAAGCCAACGCATCTCCAAAAAGCATCCAGCATTCAACTGCTTTGCCCCAATTGAAAAGTGGGACAGGAAGCCACGGGTCCTCACCTATGTGCGTAAACACCCACAAATCCATGCTCATGCAGTCCCAGGCCCCTGGGCAGAAAACCGGGACATCCACATGCTGCACATACAGGCCTGGGGTCTACAGCTTCAGACAGTCAACATATACAATGCACCCCCAGGCGCAGAGGATCCTGGACAAGGTGTGGGCTGTCTTCTCTCCTGGTCTGTCCCAGCACTCCCGTTGCTCCTTGCTGGCGACCTCAATATGAAGCACCCCGTGTGGCAACCAGGAGTGCCTCCAAGCATGTGGGCGGAACCATTCCTGCAATGGACCATGGATTTCAACTTTACTCTCACCATGGACCCAGACACCCCCACACGTGGGCATAACATGATAGACCTGGCCTGGGCCACCCCGGAATTAGTTATCAAAGGAGTGGACACACAGGTGGACAGATCCCTTTACACTTCCTCTGACCACCAGACTCTTCTCACCAAAATCAGCCTTCCACAGGGCGCAAGGCCTGACAGGCCACCCCATTTTTTCCGTCTCGACACCATGAATGAGAAGGTCTTTAACCAGACGCTGGAGGCCTATAAGCCAAAACTAGACAAACTATGTGATATCCCAGAGTACCCCAATACAGATCAGCTGGATGCCCTGGCTAAAGGTATCACAGATGCACTAATAGCTTCCCTGGAAAGTTCCACCAAGAAGAGCACCGGGCAAGGCACAGGTCAGCCATGGTGGAATGAGGACTGCCAGAAAGCAGTGACAACACTACATCGTGCACAGCGCCTAGGCTCTAGTTTTTTACGAGAAGCAAAAAGCAACGTAGCCAGGATCACCAGGAAAGCCAAGAGAGAATACTGGCGAGGCAAGATAGCAGAGGCCTCAGTGGGGAAAGATATCTTTAAGATGATCAAATGGGCCCATTCAACTGGCTCCTTTCATTCCCCCCCTCTTGTAGATGAAGAGACTGGGCGAACGCGAACAACCCCTAGAGAGAAAAGAGACCTTCTGCAACGGGTGCTCTTACAGAAGGCTGCAAGCAGAGAGGATATCCCAGTTAGCTGGTCCAACCCACCATCTGTCAAATTACCATTTCCTGTTGCCTCAGCACATGAGATACAAAGTTCTCTGCTGAACACGGGTAATACCACTCCAGGAACTGATGGAGTGCCAACAGAGGTGCTACGAAAGGCATGGCCACATATTAAGGTATCGGTGGAAAGGCTGTTCAGAGCCTGCCTTAGGGTTGGCTGGCACCCAACCTCCTTTCGAGATGCCACACTGGTTGTGCTGCCTAAGGTCAACAGAGATCCAACACTCCCGCGATCCTACAGGCTCATAGCCCTTCTCTCAACGTTGGGGAAGGGACTGGAACGCCTGGTAGCCCGTAGGCTGGCCTGGACAGCTATACAAGAGAAGATTGTCCACCCCCAGCACTTTGGAGCCCTCCCTGGGCGGGCTGCCTCAGACCTAGTGGCAGCGATGGTTCATGATATAGAGGAAGCCTGGGCCCATGGAAAAGTAGTCTCTCTTCTTACTCTGGACATCAAGGGTGCTTTTGATGCTGTACTCAGAGGAAGGATGCTGCGGAGATTGCAAGAACAAGGCTGGCCACCAAATTTAATTAGATGGGTGGAAAGCTTCATGACAGGACGCACAGGCAGGATCAGATTGGATGGACTCCTGGGAGAGCTCTTTGATATCCCAGCAGGGCTTCCACAAGGCTCGCCAGTCTCACCTATTCTATTCATGCTGTTTATTCAGCCTCTGTTCTTTCTAGGAACTATACAAAGAAGACGTGCACGCTCAGGCTACGCAGATGACCTAGGACTGCTTAGTGCTGGAACCACTCTTGAAGGGAATGTTGTTACTCTCCAGGAGGATTTCAAGTTGCTAAATGATTGGGCCAGCAAAGAAGGGCTAACATTTGATTTTGCCAAAACTGAGATAGCACACTTCACACGGCGCAGAATCCTTTCAAACCCCTCAATTGACCTTGAAACAACATCTGGCACTCACTCTATTACAGCAAATGCAGTGAAAAGCTCCATAAGATATCTAGGAATCTGGCTAGATAGAAAACTGAGCTTCAAGAAACACGTGGAGACCATGGCGGCTAAGGCACGACAGGTGTCTAATGGCATACGGGCACTAAGCAACACGGCAAGAGGCGCCCCAGTACAACTGCTTAGACAATCCATTCAGGCCTGTGTGCTCTCTGTGCTCTGCTATGGAGCAGAGGCCTGGTGGCCTGGAGCCACACGAATGGAGAAGGGAAAGGAAATCTCCAATCGAATGGATTGCCTAGTCAGAAAGCTAGATCTAGCCCTTAGAGATGCTTTGCGAGGGGCACTGCCAGTCTACAAGACCACACCCATTTCAGCTCTACACCGTGAGCTAGGAATCATGCCAATGAAAGAGACACTAGACAACCGGCGTGCTGTATTTGCAGTAAGAATCAAAAAGCTTGACAAGAGGCACCCGCTAGTGAGGCGCTCTAATAAAGTAGCTACCACCAAGCCCTATACCACACGTCTGTCTAGAGCGTCCAGTCATGCTGGTGGGATAGAAGCATATGACCCTCTACTCACGCCCCCTTGGATGAGATTTCCCAGGAAAGAAGATCTGCAGATTGG